TCCCGGGCGTTGATAACAATGCAACAGAGCACACCTCTGTCCGAGATTATAAATAAATTTATTCGCCCGTGCATGCATACATATGAAAATATACGTATGTGCATGCGTATACTTTGTGATGTCCCTAAACATATTTATGAGGGGCCAGCAGCAGCATTGGCTGTATATGTATCTCGCTGCAGGCTCGGCTGGAACAGTTTATATTAAGGTTGTTTGTAGTGCGCAGCTATCTTGATTTCTCACTCTCCTCCCACACACTCACAAATATATGTATAAATGCACAAAGGCACTCACTCTCGCACGCCGATATCTCAAAATAAGCCGATAAAAATAAGGCGAAGGTGCACCTCCCTGGCTAGTGCGACTCTTTTTTTTATTTCTGAAAGTTTATGTGGCACGTCGGGGCCAGTCACAAACCTTCCTTCATCCGACCATAAAATTCATGCACGGGAAAAATCAAATGACATGCTTTTACCATTTTGATAAAGCTTGGATAGTTCTTTCTTTTCTCTATCTCCGCGTCTCAAACGTGCCGAGTGCCCGGCCGCTTTTTTATAAGCGCGTCGCCGGCGTCGTTGTCGTTTTTCACCAGATAAAGCGCGAGATATATCAAGAGAGGCATCCTTTAAAATAAGTTTTATACGCGCTTAACTCGCTATATATGTGCCACCATTACCGCTAAAAAGCGTCATCAACAGATGATGCCAAGAGGCGCCCAGGCGTCGTCCACGATCATTAATTTCGCAAATAAAATGAAAAGATTGGACGTGTGTACCTCGTCGAATGCCAACTGCGTCTGTGATATTGTAGAAACATCTGCCTCATTATTGAGACGTGCAGAAGGGCAAAGTTGCCGCCTTCGATATTATATCGATCAAAATCTGTGAAGCGTTAAAATTGTGAGATTATAAGTAAGAAAAATGTTTCCATTTGAGAGCTCCAGAGAATCAGATATAAGGTTGCATCACGAAGTTGAAATTTAAAAATCCATTAGAGTCACCTTATTTTAGCACGAAATTAAACAAGAAGGAAAAGGTACAGTAAAAACTTCAACAAAGGAACAAGGAACTTATAAGTTAAATTATAATGTTTTGCTAACAATTTTGTTAAAATAATTTTATTTAAGCCCATGAATTAGGATATAATTTTTCGGTGATTGACTAATTGAAATTATCAAAAGGGTTACAAAAATATAACGAGTTTCTACAAAATCTGCGTTTACTATATATTATGTCACCGCAATGAGGAAACATTAGACGCTGCATGGTTGGAAAAACGACTGCTTTTCCTCTTAATATATTTAGTTTCTTTTGATAATTTTAGCGTTTCAATTTCAAAACTTATGAAATATTCCTTTTTAAGAAAATTCATTAAACATTTGACATTCTTCAATTCACAACAAGGAATACGACATTTAAAATAGGAAGATAATTAGATTTTTCCTTTAATTTCTAAAAACGAACTCAAGGCACCATAAAATTTTGAATCGGTGCCCTAAATCACACATTTTTTAAATCTCATAAATCTCAATCTCGATTCAAAAAATAAATAAATAAATTTGCGCTGCAAGATTTTTGTTTAATTTAACTCTATTATTTTCTTTATTCCTTAACAGGGCGGTTTCCTTTTCTTGCTTGCAATTGAAGGTCCCAGCCCTTGGCCGTCTGCATTTCACGCCTCTCGTCGACGGTTTTACGCTCAAAATCTGTGAATAAAATCTGCAATCCAGCAACAGCACAATGCGCGCGACGTCGGAGCGCGCGGAGAGAATTGCGAACAAGCTGCGCGCGAGACGAGAGGCGAGGTAAGTTTTGTCTGAAATCATCGATGGCTGCGTGATTATACACTTAGGTGGACAGCGCGCTCTTTCCAGAATATATTGCCGCGCGCACTTTAATGAATCAAGATGAGATATGAATGTGTTAAGCGTCTTTCTCCTTCCAACCAACAACACCACAGACGAGAGCAGAGTGACAAGTTTCTCTAAAAAAAGCTGCTCTCTCGCGTCCCTTTTCCCTCTCTTGAAAAGGAGATCGCAGATAAATCGGCGTTTGTTGAAATTAATTATTCCCAAAGTCAGCCTGTGTGTAGCTACAAATTTCAGAATGGACCTACCCATACGTGAAATCCAAATGAGAGCAACTTTTCCTCAAAATTTATTTGTGTGTTTGTGTGTTTTCTCGCAGTTTTTTCTTTCTTCTTTTTTAATGAGAACGAAATTTTAAAAAAGAGCTTTTGTGCGACGGAAGCGCGAGATTTAAAACGCCTGATGCCGCTCATACTACTTTTGTTATCGCAACGTGCTAATTAAGAATTTATTCGGTGGAGAGATATTAAAAATTATACAATCTGATAGCGGGCCAAGGCAAATATTATAACTTGAGGCTTATCAGTCGCCGACTCGCGGGGTCTTTCCTCTTTCGTCGCGAACCTGCAGTGCCTGTGCCGGTTATCGCACGAGCAGCGTTAATTATAAAAAAGTTGCCCGCCACGAGATAACAAAACGGAGACACACACACAAGACGGGAAGAAAGGATGCATGGCAATTATGTAATGCGCGACTCAAAGATCGACTCGTGCTGATATAATAATTAGCATTTTTCGTCCGCGAGTTTAATTCCGAAAATCACACGGGAATGCTGGAAACAAACGAAAAAAAAGCCGTTCCATTTATTTAAAGGGATTTGAACTGCAGATTATTGATGCCGTGATGCGTTTTCACGTGACCACATTTTAAATGGGATTTATCAACTAGCTGAAAGGTGTCCATTGAAAGTATCCGCCGTTATTTGCAAAAAACAAATTATCACGTTGCAATGCAATTAATTTAATTTAAAAAATGTTGCTTTACTTCAAACAACGATCTTTACATTTTTATTTAATTGTTTTAAATATATTTATGCAATAATATTTTTTATAAATTATGGTTGTTAATTATATTTAAATGGTAAATTAATTTTTATTTTACAATACTTTTTGGGAATAAAGGCATTAATTAATACAATAACGAATTTATTGCAATTCGAACCAAATCTCCTGAATAGACAAAAGCCACAAAAGTTACTAGACGACGCTTCTGTGGGGCTCTACTGTGAAGTAAAATAAATCTTTGCATGATTTCCAATAAATTATGTATTAATAATCACTAATCATGATTCTAGCAGAGTTGAGAATATTGAATACTTCCACACAAGAGTACTTTTTTTCACTTTATAATCAATCTAAAAAGGCTAATATGAGACCAACAAATTTCTAGAACTGCCTTTTGGATAGATATGTAAACCCGAAACAAATCCTGGCCTGGCTCACAACATCGCATTTTTGCTAAGTGATTGCTTGTGATTTGCTTGTGATTCAAGCTCTCATTTTATTACATCTTCAGAAATGTGAATTTTGACCGATTTGATCGAGGAAAATTTTCTTGAAATTTCTGTCTGGGCGCAATGTGGGAACGGATGAAAAAATCTCTTGCGGAAAAGGATGTGAGACTTGAAATCTCGGCAAGGAGATTAATATATCTCCTTGCGCGCATTATATCGGTTTAGACATTTTGTCATTATCGCGGCTTGGCTGCATATATAACCGCTCATAAAAATATAGCACACTTCCTGCCTGTTTATCAATAGCCGATTGATAACAAGCAGCGCAGTTAAGAGGGAGTTAACGAATTGGCTGCGTTATCACGCGCGCTCTCTGCTGATATCAAGGGAAACGACGGCAGTATGTGGGTGCGCGCTGCTGCCTTGTCATTTGAATAAAATGTCAAACAAGCGCCCGCTCAATGTTGGAAAAACACAGTTTTTTTTTTATTCAATATGCGCGTTATTTTTCCTCAACATCTGCCAGGCCTGATAAAAAAATAACGTTTGATAATCAGTGCGACTTTCTACATAAAACAAATGCGCGGTTGCAAAATATAATGCAAAAATAAAGTTCTTTTTTTCTACCAACAATTAAGTTCAGAAATTATGTTGAAAAAGTGAAAACAGCTGCTCTATTTTTATCGCTTTACTCTACTCAGATAATCAAAGTTAAAAGTTACTGATGTGACAATTACAATAATTCATTCAATTGAATTTTACCATCAAATTTGCAATTGCGAGCAAAGAATTGAATTTTTGATGTCGAATTTTTTCAGCAATATTTGGAACTGTGAATTTGGTCAAACCCAAAAATTATTTTAAATAAAATATTAATCATAAACGGTTTTGGTTTAAATTATATTTTATTTTCTTTAATCAAAATCTCAAATTTTAATCCAACTAGTGGTCTTTTAAAGCTTTAATTCACAAACAATACGGCTATTTTAATAAAGCTTTATTCAGCAAGGAAAATCTTGTTTTTCACCCATAAAAGTGCTTTCACTTCGATTCTCAAAATAATTGTATTTTTGATTAATTTATTTCCTATGACAAGACTTGCATTTTTAATTCTAATAATTAAATACAACTGAAAAAACAGCTGAAAACAATTAAGTTTCATGTAAAACTTACAAAGAAAAAGCTAAGTTCAAAAAATCCAAAACAAAAATTATTACTTTTCAATTTTCTTTCCCCATCTCTATCTCGGAACGTTATTCAAGGTAAAGGCGATTAAGTCAAAAGTTACTAATTTAAGAAATTAAAATGTTGATTTTAACAACTTCTAGATGTTTTCATTAGGTTATCACAACTATGGCGGTGTACAAAATAAAGTTTTAAACAGGTCTTCGTCTCGAGCCAAACACATGCACGTCTCGCGTGGTTGCATACCCTACACTAGACAATAACGCGTAGGACGCTGACAGATAACATTGAAGATACAAGCGTCAAACTCAAACATATTTTATATTCGGTATTCGTAATATTATAAAAAAAATATATATATTTTTTTTTAATAATAAATTTTGTGAAATTAAAATTGTCACCCAGAAGTGGCCTCATAGATACAAATAAATTTATATTATACTTTCCTCCTAGGAAGTCGTTTAGATAAAGTATTAATTAAAAACTTGTACTCACTCTTGAGGGGCTTCGGGTTGCTCTGCTTTCGGCGGGACATGGTGGCTCCGTCGATGTCCACGTCTCTGTCCGGTCGCTCGCTCGACGAGACTATACTGTCCGAGTGTGTCTCTCTTTCTCACTCGCGTTGTCTCACGGCACACAACAACAAAATAATATTTATAATGAGCCGAGTGTGTGAGTGTTGTGTATTGTGCACGCGCTTATCTGTCCATGCTACTGTGCCGTGTCTTATCACCGCAGCAGCACAGAGATAAAGAGCAGCCGTCGGCGTGCAGATAACACCAGAGACGAAGCACCAGACCGTTCGTCCGAGTGTGTTGTTTTGCTTCTGGTTGCACGTCCGAGAGAACCACTGTCACCACTGCAGCCCAAGAAAGCGTCCGATGTGAATGTGCGAAAGGAATTTGAAGCACGCGCGGCGTGTAGTGCTGAGCTCGACTTGCTGTGTGTCGACTCTCGGTCCGCCCAGCACCAACTGAGCCCTCTCTTCCGCGGATCCGCGGCACAGTCTCGCCAGTGAGACTCACTCGATCGCGCGCCGCAGCTGCACTCGCTCTCATTGGTCTCGAACCTCAGACTGAAAATGTTCGGAAAAGTCACAGACGAAGGGCTTAATAATTTATCGGCAAGAAATCTCTTCGACGTGTGAAAAATGCCCTGGCATGATTTATGATAGTTTAATTTTCACTACATTGTTCAACTAAATTTGTCTTGAAAAATCAATTTAATAAATCTACTATTTTAATGTATTATTAGTATTACTTTTAAACTACGTATTGATTGAGGAAAAACAACAAATTTTGATTCTCTGCCAACTAAATAACATAAAAATTATTTATGCTTTATGCACATTCAAAGATGCTTAAATTGGAAAATAAGTAATATAGAAAATACATATCGTCTAGTAGATATATATAAATGTTTTAAGAATTTGAGGTAAGATTTCACAATCGGGGGTTGATCCATGTTTGAATTTGAAATCGGCTTTTCCTCGATCGGTCCTGTGAGTTTTTTTTTTTATTAAACAATAAACAACTCATAAAATCCGATTTTTTCAAAGCCCAAAATTTGTTGGTTGAAATTAATAATTAAAATAAAGCTAAAAATACTTTTCAACTTGCACATTATGTGGATTACTTATATTAGGAATTTTGGTGAAAAAAATCACTCATTTTATACCTACAAATAACTCTTTTATTGTTAAGAAGTCGTCAAAGTCATTACTTTACATCATCATATTATACAATTCGTACTAATCAGTAGTCATTACGTATCACATTGATAGAAATACATGGCAAAGGGAGTTCAACTTCCATAAAAATACCAGAGTTGTCTTTCTTTCATATAAAAAGGCAAGCGTCGTAAAATACCCCCTGATCTCTTTCAGGCACACTTGCAATTTAATTTTTTTTTCTTAGGACACAACATCTCATCTGCATATAATTACTTGGAAATTAATTAATACTCTTGCTAAACAAACAACATTGAAATCCAAAATTTTCATTACCCAGGGGAATAAGAACCGGGTAAGTACATTTAAATGTTCCAAAAAACAATGCCACCAATTGTCATTGGTACGAATGTATCAAAACAAAAGGTTTCATATAACTAAAGTCAAGAAATTGTCAACATAATGTGAGGAAAGATTGTAAAAAAACCAAGTGCAAAACAACGTCTTAAAACAAATTAATTAAGTAGACAACAGAGGACAACTCATATCAGACGTGTTGTACTTCACGGCGTTTTGGGCACACTTGGCAACATTTTGAGATTGTGGGAGGCCTTCTGGAGCACCTCCTCGGTACGCAGCAGCTGCTCCTCCATTGAGGCCTGGACCTTCAGTCGGTCCCGGTTTTTCTTGTTGAGCGTCTCCAGACAATTTTCAATGATTCGTTGGCTCAGAGCCAGTCTCTGCTTGAGGTGTCTGTTTTCGTGGTTCAGTCGGCTCTTCTCGTCCTCCTTGATTTCATTTATGCAGCGGCCAGTGTCACTGTCGATGCCTAAATCCGGACTTGAAAGGGTGTGTCTTTGAGTGGCCTCTGTGCTGGATGGAACCGAACCGGTCCCGTTGAAGATTTCGTCGCTGTCCGAAAGGTGGACGAGACTGGACGGAGCCGTCGAGTGGTTGGCTGTGGACTTTGAGGCCTCCAGTTGGTGGATCTGGTGGGTAAGCAGTTGGCAGTGCTGCTGGGCCTCCTCCACTTGGTGTGCCAAAATCTCACAACGCTCGATGTCCTTCTTTGACGCTTCCTCCATGTGTTGGCACTTGCTGGTGGCCTCGAGAGCTTTGGTCTCAAGCTGCTGGCACATTTTGCGGGTTTGCAGGATTTCCTCCTGCATGGTGGCCTTGGCTTTTTCCATACTGGCCAAGGCCTCTTGAGTTTCGTGTTGCACTTTCTGGAGCTGAGAGTGCAGTTGGTCGCGCTCCGAGAGTTGGCTTTCCAAATGCCTGATGCGTGTTGTGGCGTCACCAAGCAAATTCTCGAGTTCCGAGATTTTGATGTTAGCTTTCTCGAGCTTCTCCTGCGCTTCAGTCAGTCTTCGAATATACACTGAGATCCCCTCCTCTCCCTGAAATTTGTATTGGTTCAATTATTATACGAATTTATTTTTACTCTTTACTTGTTTTTAATTTTATTAAAAACCCAATTTTCTCTGGAAATTTATATGATCATTTAATTTTTGTTTATAAAATTCTCCGAACAATAAGTATAGATTTTATGTAAGTATCATGAAAAAATCATCCTTTAATTGCAACCCTCCTGTAACTTGCCTTGGCAACACAAGCTGTAACTTCCAGCTGCTGTCTCATAGCTTCGTTTTGATGCAGCATCTTCTCCAGTCTTGAGCGTTGGAATTCTAATTCCTGGATCATTTCAGTAGTCACAGATAGACCCATGGACTGCAAATAAAAACGTGTTAAAATCATAAAAAATAGCAATAATTGAAATTACCTGTTGAAGAGGATATGATGGTGAACAGGCAATAACATCACTGTTGTGAGTTTTTAAAAGAGTCTTGTATCCACTAACTTCGGCTAACAAAGCTTCGTTGATTTGTTCAGTGGCATGAAGTCGGTGGACCAGCTTCTTGTAAGATGCTTTTTTGCCTGTTAATAAAATTTGATATAATTATAAATTTACAAAATATAATTGAAATAGTACCAGGTGTTTTAGGAGAGTGGTCCTGTTCTGAGGAGGCTGGTGAGGAGACTCCCTGGTTGACTGGAGTCTTGTTCTCGGGCAGTCCTATCCTGGCGAGGGACACAGTTCGGTCAGGCTCAGACCAAGCCTCTGATTCAGAGTGGTTTCCACGAGCCTTTCTCTCCACGGCAGTTGCTCCGCTGCCAATTTCCTCATCCTCCTCGTCTTGTTCTTCGATTTCGTGCTTTCGAGGGGGCCTTGGTGGAGGCTGCACTTTGCTTTTCTCCAAACTCCACCTTGCAAGTTCGATTTCTTTTCCGGAATCCAGATCACTTGATATGCTGACTGGCCACAGGTCAGCAGTCCTGTCCTTGCGAGCTTCAACCTATTATTATTTTTTATTTTTAATAAAAAACCAATAATGAAGATTTAAATTAAAAACTACCTCCTGGAGGAATTCTTGCTGCTCCGGACCCTTCAGGAAGGCTTGGATCTGGTTGATCAGAGATTCTTCGTGTCCAGCACTGCTGAGGTTGGTCATGTCATGGTCTAAGGTGTGTTCGGTCATCCAGGACATAGAGAGAGTTGTGCATTTCTGCCGAGCATTTCCCAAACTGTTTTCCACAAGTTGGAGAAGGCTGGCCCTGTTTGCAGCAGAAAAAGCGCTGAGCAAGTGGGGTCGTCGAAGAAGGGTGGCCAAAAATGCAGCAAGTTCATCCAAGCGACTCATCATCATTATAGCTGTGCCTCCAACCTCGGAAGGAATGACTGAAGTCTTCCTCTGGGCCCTCTCAAGCTGCAACTGCAAATCAGATATTTCCGCATGCAACTCTGCTTCAGTGGCAGCTTTCTCTCTCAGCAGTTCGGAGTTTTCTTTGGTCAGTTTTTCCACTTGCTTCCGCTGGCATTCGAGTTCGGTCCACAGATGCTCGTTCTCTTCTTGATGCATCTGACCAATTTGGTCTGGACTCAAATTCTTATACTTCTCCTGGATGGTTGTGATTTGGTTATGTAACTCTTTGTTTTTGGTGACCAACGTCTGCACGACCTTCATCGATTTCTTTTGCTTTTCTTCAGATTCGACAAGTTTTTTACTCAACATCTGGTGGTCAGCTTCCATTTGGGAAATAACTGTTTGCTGACTGTCCAAGGATTGCCTCAGGCTTTCGAGTTCCTTCAGTTTCTCGTCCAGCCTGATTTGGATTTCCACAATGATTCTCCTCTGATCCTCCAGAAGCTTGTCCTTGAAGCAAAGCTCTTGGACCTAAAAAGTAATTATAACATAAAATATGATTTTCAGTTAACGTCATTTGACTTGCAAACCTTGATTTGAATTTCGGGAGCTTTCGATTCCAGCGCTTCGTTCAGTCGCCGTTCTCGTTCCTGACTTGAAACAAGTTCTTCAGATACATTCTGCAACTTTTGTTCGAGGTCGTTGATTTGGAGTTGCAGTGATTCTACTACTTCAGGATCCTAAAAAATTGTCAAATTTTATATAAGAATGGCTTTACATAATTCTTCTTAGTACCTGTTTCTCCACTTTTGAACCTCTTCCAGGAGGAGGTGGTGGAGGCATAAGGAATGAGCTGGGCAGGTCGAAGGCGTCTGCATACAGAGCCATTGAGTTTTCCATCGGCTTTGGGTGGCCGTTGGACACAGGACGGCTTTCCAACTCTTTGCGCAGCTTCTCCATTTCAGAGTTGTGCTGCTCTTCCATCATTTCAATGGCTTTGCCAGCTTGGGCAAGCAAAACCTGCTTTGACTGCATCTCCCGCCGCAAAGTTTCCATTTGAACCTGTTTGAAAAGAAAAATAATATTAATACCCTTGTTGTTATTCCATTAAATACTCAACTCATCTTAATTCACAATTATTTTCATAATTTTTTTTTCAACATACCTTAAGCTCAATGAGCTTTTTCTCTGCCCCATCTCCATCACTCAAGGGTTTGCCCAGTTTCTGCATCCGCTCTTCCAGGAAGTAGATGCGCAACTTGAGGTTAAAATTCTCCTTTTTGAGGATTCGCAGCTCCTCCTCATACTGCTTGACGGTCCTTCCACTCATGGAGGTTGCAGCCGCGGGCTGGTTTTGCAGTAGTTCCGAAACTGCAAAATTAGACAGATTTGAGTAACAGTTGTCAACACCAAAAATGATTTTGTTTTTTCCAGTGCGTGTTTGAGAGTGCAATATACCTTGAAATTTCTATGTCATCTCTCATACTTAACATACACACACTAGTGGCTTTGAGGTAGAATCAATAACCCACCAGTGAGGGCAGGTATATCAAATTTCCCTTAAGCCGCAAACAAAGAGAGAAACAAGAACTGGGTCAGCCCTTGCATAATGAGCAGTGATGAGTATATTTTGGCAGGTGTTTTCAATTGAAAACAACAACAAAATGAATGATGAATTAGGTCTTTATAATATCTATGCCATCGTTAGATTTTTTTTTATTATTTAAAATATATTTTTGTTTTTTAAGCAAGAAACATACAAGTTTGTATTGAACCGAGAATAAATTGTAGATAAAATCAAACCTTTAGAACTTACATGGACTGTCTGATGTTTCCTCTGCATCAAAGATTATGCTCTCAAGCTGGCTTGGACTTGTGCTGAAACAAAAGCAAATCTATTATAAAAAAGTCGTGTGGTGTTCATTTATTTTTTCTTCATAATCGTACGAAAGAGACACGTGTTTGTACGTCGTAAAATAATAAAGCAGAACGGCGTTGTGACAAAATAGCTTGTTGCGCTCACGGTCAGGTCAGTTTCATTAAAGAATCTGAATGTGTATGTGATAAACAGCTATTCAATGCGCGTAAAACAATACCGAGACTAGAAGTAGTATTATTTAACTCGGAAAGAACAAAAGAAACTAAATATTTTGCATTGGATAATAGTTGTAAAAATTGCATCAAGGATCAAATTTCATCTCAAATTGGTGCAACTGTAAGTTGAACTCGGATTTCGTAATGAAATGTTCACTTCACTATCCCAATTGTGTTAGAAATGGGTATCGATTTCAGTTTATTTGTCTCTGAAGCCTTGAACGCGAAACAATTAAAAGAGCTGCGAGCTAGGTATGGAGCCTTAGAAGCGACGTTTCTGTAAATGGAGATTTTATGAAGTGAGTATAAATGAGAGACAGCTCTACTTGCTGCAGCTGGCTTTTTTAGGGAGGAATGACGCAGTTTTGGTGGAAGTATGAACGATATGCCGTCATCCGCAGATGGACTGGGAGGGTGAATCCACAGGGGGGGATCAGTGAGACGAGAAACAGGCAGAAAATTGTCACTACGGCAATCTTAAGGATGTTTCTTAACTAAAATTGAGTTTATTTTGCTTTCCACTGAAATTATATTATTAGAGGATTTAAAAAATCATCAATATGAGACGCAAGAGACCAAATTATTTTATAAATATGGGCCTCTTTTATCAGAAAAATTAAAAATGCAAAAGATAATAAAAAATGCACATGTGTATTATGTAATATTATAAATAATTAGTTTCTGATAATTCAACTAATGTAATAATTACTCAAATACCAAAGAAAGACCAGAGACTTAATTCTAGGAACCTAGGCTTACTCATGATAAGTAATAACGTCCTGTACACTTTAGATCACAAGGAGACAACAGGAATAAAAAAGAATTAATCTTTTAAAACGTGAAAAAAAATAAAAAATAATAATCAATGAAACTAATTAAATTATTAAATAATTCATTATGCAATATTAATAATAGTAATAATAATTGTACAATTATTAAAAAACTTAAATAAGGTATGTGTGATAAATGTATTAAACTTAAAAAGGGTCCTATGCAATACTCACGTTTCGTTAAAAAAAAAGCAAAAAATATGGTTTTATATAAGGATTTTTTTATACGATTGCTGAAATTCACAACGACCTTGCGCTTTTCAGTGAATCTCTGATATATTCCAAGGAGTAGGAACTATCATCCAAAATAGTTAAGAATGACAAATGCGTTCACCACTTGTGCACACCATAAATAAATACAACGCCACGTGCTCAATGCCAGTTGAAAGATGGAAAGCATAATGGTAATAATAACCTGGCGGGAACATATTTCCCGTTTTGGAGTAATTAAACCGCGGCTTAATACAAATTAGTTCGAGACTCGATCCAATTAGGAAAAACGACGATGGTTTTTGTATTTATATTAAACACACACGTACGAACATAAATCGTATGTGTTTATTTTTAATCATGCAGCGTCAGAAATGAAGCGGCGAGGAAGCAGTCGGTGTGTTTTGGGACTCTAAGTCGCGTTTATTTTGGGCCTGCCACCGACCGACGGCCGACCGTGAAGTTTTTTGAGGATATATACGTGCGCGAGGGAGGAAATCAAGTAAAAAAACTATTTCTCTAGATTGTCATTCGAAAAAAGAAATGCATGCATGGACCACGCGCCTTTTTATTAAGAGTGGAGGACAGCGCGCTTCCTGCCAGACTCTTTGCTCTTTATCAATTAAGCGTGAGTGCGTGCGCTTTCATTTATTTGTCTGCTGCCACTGTCGACACAAACACACACAACCGACTTATCAGTCAGAGTAAATATAAAAGCCGAGCAGAACTGCCGCTCAACTTTCAGCCTGCTTGTATTATAAAGGATCTGGAGACTTTTTTCAGGAGCCATGTGGACTCCTGACATTGACACAAGGACGTCGCAGACATCAAAGTGATATAAATTAATCACAAAAGTTTTTTATTTCAAAGGCATAATTTAAAATCAATTCTGACAGCTAATAACGCATTTTTTTTTTAATATATTTTATTTTAGAATTTTTTCGATTTTAGTACCTCCTTTTTAATGGTATATAAGTTTGTTGTTCAATTGATATTTTTTTCTAACCAACATTCATTTTAAAATTCAAACTATTTTTTTCATCAAGACTATGTAATTTTTAAGTTTGGTCTATTGTGAAATCAAAACTTGGAGGATTTTTTTCAAGGTGAACAATGCTTTTTTAATCTGGTTGCACTTACATTTTTGAACTGTCTCAATTCACCATATTTTGATCGGGTGAAATTGTTTCAAAATTTAATAAAACGAGAGCTACTTAAAAAAAATTAGCTTCAGTGGAATAAATTACAAAAAATTTACAAAAATGTATCTGTATAAATTTCATAGCAACTTATGTACAAAAATGGCAGAGGAATAACGAATAAAACGAGACCAGTTTTGTTGAAAAGAGTAACTGGGTTGGATGAATAAGGCGCTCATTTGAGCTTCTCTGTAGTCAGCCACGTGGGAAAGCTAAAAGCGAAAAGCAATAAACGCCGAAAGAAAGGGCACGATTGTTGGCAGTTGTGGCCGGGGAGCGACTTCGGAGAGCTCAGAGTTTATCATTAATATAACAGCAAGGACGCATGGTTGTGTCGCTCTTTATTTGCATAATTAGCTGACGTCAGGGGAACGACGACGCATATTATAGTAAAAAGAAGATGCGCGAATATGCCATGCCGCAGTGTTGATTTCAAAAAGGATCGCGCACGAAACGGCGTGAAATGTCGAGTTTTTTGTTTCAAAATTATAATTATATCAAAATCGTAAAGAGAAGATTCTTTTGAACTCCGGAGAAGACGTTTAAAAAATGTCAAAACAACATGACTGCAGAACGAGAATGTTTGTCTCTTTGCTCTCCAATTCATCTCTTTGATTAGGTAGCGGTTCAGCTAGTCAAAATATAAACAAAAAATTCTTAGAAATACGATTGAAAAATTAACACTTATTGGAACTGATTATTAACATTTAATGAAAAAAGGAATAATTCTGATGAATTAATTCACACAAGTTTAATTGAAAATTACTGATGAATTTTGAACAAACACCAATCAAATTATGAAATATTTTTTTTATTAACTCTGTTTTAAAGGAGAAATTAAAAAAAGGTTTAACCAATTTTCTGATTTATAGTGGATTTTATTATGGTGCGTCACGCTTACGAAATTCTAGTCTGCGTTGAGTAAATAGAGGAGCGTTGTATTAATCTAGATATTGAGCAGGAGAGGATCAGATGATTCACTGGCGCGGAAAAAATGGAAGCAGCACAGGAAGAGGGTGGCGTCATTGCTTATTGAACCATTATGCTCTGGGCAAGGGGTGCACTTGGAACCTTTAAAAGCAGCTAATGAGAAAAAACAGCGGAAGAGCTCCTTTCATAAAAATAAGTATAGGTGTTGATGATAAGGATCCAGAAATTATATTTTCATGGATAAATTGCACACACAATTTTTAGTTAGTTGTTTGTTTTATGCTGTAGTATTTGTAATTGTGCAATTTAAAGTGTGAAAAATATAGCTTTGGAATATACATAGTTAATAAAGAAATATAATATTTTATGAATTGCAGTTGTCAATTTTTTCCTAAATTTATGATTTACATGTAAATTTTATATTAATTGAAATTTAAAAATAAAATAAACAAACAATGATTTTTAGAAAGCAAAAGATTCACAGTAAATATTTTTTTAATAATATCACCAACAATACACTTGATTAAGTTAATCAGATCTTTAAAGCTGCCACAAATTATGTTCACAATTATTAAAACTGTATTGTCATTTTCTAGTTTCAGCTGCAATATGTACAAGTTTTTATCGCTCACTTCCAACATTTGACTTCAACAAAGCTAAGCAAATTAGTTTTTTCACGCGTATTTGAACTCATCCACAAACAAAGCTTGAGATAAAAAGTTCTACGCGCTTACAAGTCCGGCTCAATGTGGCCAACTGAATCTAATTGTCGACGCAAGGCGAGCAGAAATTAGGACACGACATTGCAAGTGGCAAAGATCGGCAGCGCTCTCAAGAGTCAAAAGAAAGAGCAGACGCCGAGATGCAATGGCAGTTCACGGCGGCCACAGTTTTCGCCTTGTGAAAATAAAATATCTCCGAGGTTAACGGCCCGTGAAATTTTAGGGAAACACCCGGGTGTGTTTGTTGAGGATCGGAATTAAGAATTGGACGAGGAGGGACGTATGCGAGGGGTGATGCGATAATTGTGTGGTGCTCTCTCGATATAAATATACTCAGGGACACCACTAGACGACTCAGCCCAAGCATGCGCTTCTTTGAAATAAACACACACCGCTGGCGAGCATGAATAAATGCAGATCAAAATCTCCAATCGAAATTGATCTGCAAATATAATCTTTTTGGTTGTGACTAAAACCTTTAAACTGTGTATTTTGCTCAAATTCAATAATTTCTAGGCCTAGATAAGGGGACGTTCTTGGTCTAAAAATAATTTAGAAAAAAGTTTCGTGGGGCAAAATAAACAAAAACAATTCCTGTCAACGCTGAGGGGATCTTTTTGGGAAGATTTAAATTTATACAATTTATTATAAACTGCATTGCAGATTTTGCCTGGAGCATTAAAATTCAAGAATTTCAGTCCTTTGAATATCAATAGAATTTCAATAGAAAATAGAGAGAAAAAAGGGATTAAAGTGTAATTTCTTTTAATGATCTAATTATGCACTTCAAACTAAGATTACTCCTCAAAAAAAGAATAATTTAAAGTATTTATACCTTCCATATTCATGAGACGCGATCTAATAAGAAATCCTACATTTCATTCAAAACTTTCATTGACAACGAATAAAACTTTTAAATACGTGCTTATTAAAATGAAGATAAAAAAATTGCATAAAATAATTTGTTTAAATTTTTTTTAAATCGGTTATAAAATGTCTTTTTTTTTAATTTAAATTTTTTTTACAATCATTTTTTTTACAAATCAAAAGAGAGATTTCATGAATTTCATTTAGTTACTTGAATATTTTTTTTAAGTAGTGAGGGGCGATCAAGATAAATCAAATCTAAACAAAGCCCAACCTCTCATCCAGAATCTCATATATTAATGCATAATTCAAAGAACACACCCTTTATGCCTTAATTTAGTTATGAAATCACGCGGCTAATGATCCGTGCAAACTGACGCAACCCATTAATTACATTTGGCGACAACCTCAAAATAGATGTGCTGACTTTTGAGGTCAAAGTGCACCAGGTGGTCGCGCACGCTGATCGAATTCTCATGATCTCCGCGAAAAAAGCGCCACGCCCCGGTTTTTTTTCATATTTATATTTATATATAAATAATATCGCGCGTCAATTCATTAGCTAGATTAAAATTCGCGGGGGATTGCCCTAGCTGTTGGAACTTTGACCCCGCCTGGGCCAGATTTAGACTTGGAACCGGTCCCCCTGCCAAATTATGAACACCTTTTTTGCCGCACGCGGTAGTCCTACGCCAAAAACACCCACAACGGCTGAAAAAATAAGACGAGCAAGAACCTGAGATGCCTGGATAATAAAAGATTTCCGGCGAAGATTTTAAAACATTCGGAGAGTGAACACATGCGAGATTCACAAGATGCGGCCAGCTGCATCTGTGCGCAGCTCCTCAAAGATGCTGAGGACTTCATATGTGCTCATTGTGAGATGCACACAAGGAAATTGCTTTTTGTAAGCTTTTTTCAAATACAACAAAGAGTAAATAAAAAAAACAGCAAGTTCAAGATTAAAATTCAATATGGTATTGTGTTATTAAAGTTTTGTTGTCAAAGAGTAAGATGCCCGGCTGTTTGTTATCAGATGAAAATAAAAGCTTTTGTTATTAAATGTAGAAGCAGATAAATAACTCCATAAATTGCATTATTTGTAATTATTCGATATTTGATTGAAATTTTTTTTGAAAATATTATTGTGCTATATTATTTTCCTCCACAAAACGAGAGATAAAAATAGTTCAATCTATTTTAGTTGCAAATATTTTATCACTTTTATATGAAACTCATAGGTTAAATCTTATTGTTAGAAATAATTAAAAGGCTTAAGATTTTCCCATGTCCCCAAATCTTTATTGCTCAAAGTTTTAACTCCAAGTCCAAGTTATTATTGTGATAATTTTTGTATCCTATACAGGCTATACAGAACAAAAATATTTAATACTAGCTATGAACTAATTTTGCATTCATTTATATTTACCAAAGTTATTAAAAAATTAAAATAAAATTAAAAATTTTGATATCTAGACGCCAAATTTATATCAAGTAAGTTGCCGAAAACCAATCCTCAAACCGCAGGTCCATGCCAAAGTGCCACGGACTACTGAGCTGCTGACACTTCATTTTGGCGCTATTAAATATTTTGCCACAATATTTTTGTTTTACATATTATATATAGAAATATTGTCGTGGTGGTTGAAAATTAAATGCAAGAAACCGTTGAAAAATCCATGAAATTGGAAAAGATTTCAGCAGTAATTGTGGTACTTTTGTCCCTTTCCTGCTCACTTCAAGCTATACAGGAATTTAAAAATTCCAAGCATTTTTAAGGAATTGCCACAAAAAATATTGCAGAAGCAAATTCCTTGATGTGTTTGCTAATATTTTCTTCCTCACTACACAAAAGACAATTCTATGCGAGCTTCCCAGAGTTTACTTTCTGCTGATTATTTTAAACTGTTGCTTACAAAATTAAATTAATTCAATCAGATAAAAATCGTTTTTACTTTAAGCGTATGATTCACTAACAAGACCAAATCTTATTTCCTCCTTAAAAAAAATTGCTTAAAATTTCACACAAATTCAAATTGTGAAGTAGTGCTCAATCGGAGGGAGAACTAAAAAGTTTCAGCAATGGCAAAATTTAAATTGAATAATTTTTTCAAATCATGATTGCTTGAATGGAAATTTAATTAAAATTAAATTAATTTTGTACCGATTTACGCAGTGGAAATTTGGCAAAATGTCACGATCTTTTGCAAGCTGCGTGCGATGGAGGGATGATGACGTCAAGCGAATTGCGCGGGATTGGGGATTTTTTTTCGGAGGTGCGTACGAAGGGGTTGAGATCGACCCATTTTAGACTCACCAGTAGGGCAAGATCGGTTTGGCCCTGGGGGAGGTGAGGACGGCGCCCCACTGCGGGTCCATCGAGGGACTTCGCTTGAGAAAGGGCGCCAGGCTCCTGCGGGCCGGGGGCGACAAACTGCGTCTGCTGGCCATCTTCCCTTGATCTCTGGACCAGCAGATCGATCACATGACTAGCGGGGTCTCTTGAACCGTTCAGCCCCGGGGCTCGCGCATCCCCGCGAACTCGAATCAGCTGGCCGATTGGTCTGTGGCGGTCACTGGCGGGGCAGGTCGCGTCCGACGTGCCACTCGAGCATCAAACTCTGCACTGCCAGAGATGAATCTGTGCGGGGCCGTCGCTTACCCAGCGCATGCGTCCCCTCTGTGAGGACCCCTATTGCCATTCTATTACGATTCCTCTCCCTTTCCAACGCATCGCACTGCACTCGCGGCGCCGCGACGATTTCCTTGTGTCATTACGCGATTCATTACTACTGGCGCCTGCCCGACCATGCAATTAAATTTTTTCTGGATGCATCTTGAGCTTTTCGATCATTTTTTTTTAATGATGGAGTTTAATTAAAATTCATTTCTGCTTCTGACGGGTAATGTGACCTTAAATCGCCATTTCTGATTTTCTACCAAATGAGTTTGAAATGTATTATTACAAGTACATTTTGGAATAATTTTAATAATTAATAGACAAAAAATTTGAATAGATTTATGCTAATTTTTAGAATGACTCTTTTAAATGTGGTCAAAAAAAAGTGGAGAGCATTTATTGAAAATTAATATTTTTTTTAAAAAAAATCTTCATACAGATAATACACTTATTTTTACTTGCAATAATGGAGAATACAAAACAAAACCAAAGTAAGATTGATAAAAATTTTGATCCTAATAAATTTATTGTTAAATACCAAAACGCATTTCAATTGCATACTGGATTAATTTAAATAATTTTTAAATAAATTTCAAGAGTCATTTTTATTATCTGTTTGGTCAAACAGCAGCTAAAATTTTTGTGCTTTGCATAATAGTCATAATTAGAATAATTCAATAAACAACTTTGTTTATTTCTGTGAAAAAAAAAGTACATATAGTTTTTGCTGCTTTAAAGACTGTGTATCAAGCAAGTAGAGTTACATTAATTATAAATAAAATTTGTGCGCTATAATTTAAAAAAAGTTGGCAAAACTGAATGGAATTGCCAAAAAATATTTGAAATTTGAATTAAGTAAATTTTTAATAGCAAAATCAAGAATTGTTCTATTACCTTGACTGCAGAATTTGTTAAATAAATAATAAAAAATAAATGATTTATTAATAATTAAATATTATTGTTCCTATTTAATTTAACATTTAAAATTTGTAAACTTTGTCCTAACCCTAGTTCCAGTCTAAATCTAATATAAAAATTATTAAAACACTACATCAGGCTGAAACCCATGGTTAAATTAATTAAAAAGTCTGGATTAATCAGTTGATCAAACTACATAAATATTATAATATAAAAATGTTACAAACTTTCCGTGGATGGTATTGAAAATTAAAATTCAATTTAATTGATTTCATTTGCTGTTGGTTTTAATTTTTAGTGCTTTAGATTAGAATTTATTTTTATGTACCAGAAAACACAGTACTAAATTCCTTTAGTCAGTGATTATTTAAATTTCGAATATCTTATCATGATTATCATCCCTCTTTTAACGCCGTTCCACCGAGTTATGAGACAAAAAGTTGCGAAAGTAAAACTAAAAGCATGTAAATTCCACAAATCCACTGAAATGATCACCTGCAATTCCGCTCTCGATTTTCAACTAAACTTTTCCACTTACTTGTCGCCGAACAAGAAGGAATTTATGTCGCCTTCCTCGGGTATGACTTCCATTGTGCTCCTGAAGTGACCTCACAGGTCAATGCATTCAAAAACGGCGAAGAAATCCCGAAATTCGATAAGTCGGCAGGTCTATGATTGAAGGTCACGCTTCGAACGTTGGATGTTTTGGTTGCGTTTTGAAATTGCGCGCGAGAAGGAGTCTCAAACATGTGATGAGAATTTAGCACTTTGCCGCTTGGAGCGACACTTGTTAACATAAACAAAAATCATATGGGGCCTTCGATCGAAAATACATACATGCTTGAAAATTAATTGGTTTTCTTGAAAGCAGTCAAATTTGAATTTTTATTTTTGAAGGACGTACTTTGTGAAATTCTTGCATTCACCAAATTGTTGAGTTGTCTCAAAAAAGGCAAAGAAGGTTAAGCAGCTTTTATTTTATTTTTATACACATATTTTAACACGCTTTCTTTGCGGTGTAGGAGCAGGAGGTGCAAGTATTTATTTTAATATGTACTTACCGCATTAAAATTGCATGATCTTTTTTTAATTGTATATTGATTATACCAAAAAAAAAAAAAAATTAACGCATTATTCAGACATGAAAACCTTGTATTACCTTACTTTTATTGAATATTAATATCTCCGCTTTCAAAATTTCAGTTGGCAAAAGATATCCTTGTTACATATCTTTGTTGTTATGGGGACCATCTCCAGGCACTGATAGGACCAAGCGCAGAATAAACTCCTCCAAGGTCAAATCGATTAGTGCCAAATAAATACGCACAATTTTGAAAACACCTAAAATCAGCAGCCCTTTTTGAGTCCACGATGAGGGTCAGCAGGCTTGTGTACAGAAGTTTCCTTCAAGGCAGTAAATTGCTGTCAGGTCGTTCAACACAATTCACCTCACCGTTAGCTAGTTACTCAAGAAATGTGTAAGTATACATAATATTATTTTTTTTAATACATTTTAATAAAATTTGGGTTATTTTATACAGGCCTGGTGAAAAGGATTTTAATCCAATAAAACGGACAGGAAATATTTTGAAGAATGACCTAATCCGATTGAAGAATGAAGTGATTGGCATTTTTCATCCCGGCTCAGAAAACCAGCAAACAAAAGACATAGACGAGCCACATAAGTATTATTCATGGCAGCACAACTGTGACGTTCTAATAGTCGGCGGAGGTGTCATTGGTTCCTCCATTGCATTCTTCCTCCTTGAAAACTTTCCTGGAGCCATGAACGTCACAGTTATAGAAAAAGACCCAACGGTAAAGAACGCAATTTAAATATACAATTTATTTCAATAAAACTAATTTAATTTTTTATCTCCCAGTACACAAAATGTGCCACAACTTTGTCTTGCGGTGGGCTGAGGCAGCAATTCTCTCTACCTGAAAACATTTTGATGTCCCAGTTTGGTGCCAAATTTCTGAGAGAGTTGCCAAGGCGGTGTGGAATCGAAGGTATGGACCCTCCAGACGTCCAATTCCATCCCCAGGGATACTTGTTTTTGGCCACCGAATCCGGCGCAGAACAGCTTACCCTAAACCACGATGTTCAAATGTGAGATTTCTGAAATCATAATCGAGATAAATATAAAAATTAACATATAGGGATCTTGGAGTAAAAAATGTTCTCCTTACCAAAGAACAGTTACAGAAAAGATTCCCGTGGCTGAATACAGAGGACATTGAACTTGGTTGCCTGGGTCTTGAAAATGAAGGATGGTATGTGTCAAATTATAAAAAATATACTAGTTAATTAAGTACCTCCAGGTTTGACCCATGGACGCTGCTGAACGCCCTTCGATCAAAGGCCATAGCTTTAGGAGCTCATTATGTCCAAGGGGAGGGAGTTGGATTCGAGTTCACGGAGATGCCAGATGTAATAATTTCAGGCGATGATAGCGGACTCCCTTACAACAGAGTGAATAAACTAGTCGTAAGTGTAAAGATAAGATAATTGAACCACCTAAAGTTGTTTAAATACATGTAGGTTCGTCTTGAAACTGGAGAAGAAAGGAAAGTCACATTCAGCAATTGCGTCATTGCCTGTGGACCCTCGTCAGGTCACATTGCAGAACTAGCAAATGTTGGCTCAGGGCCAGGAATGCTGGCATTCCCATTGCCCGTAGAACCAAGGTATATTATGAGTGCTTAAAAATAATTTATATTTTAATAAAAAAAAAATATTTGACTCTTAGGAAAAGATATGTCTTTAATGTTCACTGTCCAAAAGGCCCAGGAATTGATCTGCCTTTTGTAATTGATCCAACAGGCACCTATGTCAGGTTTGTTCTTGACAAATTAATTAATTTCACGAATTAATTAATTTTTCTTCATTTTAGGAGGGAAGGCTATGGTGGTAACTACATATGCGGCCGGTCACCGCACGAAGGTGAACCGGAACCATCAACAGCCAACTTTGACGTGGACCATGATTTCTTCGACCAATGTGTTTGGCCCCATTTGGCACACCGAATCCCTGCTATGCAAGAACTGAAGGTCAAAAGCTCCTGGGCTGGACATTACGATTACAACACGTTTGACCAGAATGCCATTCTCGGGCCCCATCCTTACCATCACAATCTGTACTTTGCAACTGGATTTAGTGGTCATGGTAAATTAATTATTTCTGTAAAATTATTATTTTTTGTTAATATAAATTTGTTTCGTGTCAGGTCTTCAGCAAGCACCTGCAGTAGGTCAGGCAATTATGGAAATGATGGTTGAAGGCCAACTTACTACAATGGATTTGTCTCGGTTCACTTTTGATAGGATTTTGGTCGGACACAAAGTATTGGAGTCTAACATAGTGTAAAATAACTACGTTTTTAATGTCTTGTTAAACTAATGTGATTAGTTACATAAAATATGAAATAAATAAGTCATTGCATATTTACTCGAGGTGTTGTATTTTGTTGTTGGGATTCTTTTTATTCTAATTAATCAGAATGTAATGAAATACCTAAAGCTATGTAACCATAATAGATAATATGAATAATTTAATTTGCAACTGAAAAAAAGCAGCTTTGAAAGTCGTTTTCATAAACAATATTTTATTCCAGTTAAAATAAACTTACAAATATTTTAAAATTCATTTTGCCAATAAATACAATGTTAACAATACTTAAACTTGTTTTATGAAAATGCTCGAACAGAAGTTAATTTTATAACTTATTAGGATATGTTATTTATACATTACAATGACTCTGAATAGGACTACTATGATTAAGGCAGCTTCATTTAACTTTTTAAATTCTCCAGTGCCTAAAAGCAAATATCCGACAAGCAATATTTTATGCTCAGGACAGGAAAAGGGTTGCCGGCAGCTCCAAATATATCATTTTGATTAGGCACTATTATCTATAATTTATTTTTTCAAGTTTTTATTTCAGCAAATTTTCTGAGCATGGTAGTTCTAAATGTTAACAAGTATCAATACAACTTCATTTATATTTTGTCTCTCTGTATGAATGCACAACTTACAGTTATCACACAAGATTCTTATATTGATATAAGACGGTAGAGATGCTGATAAAAAGTTTAAAGATTTGTGCAAAATGAATAATATCGAGAAACGGTAAATTATTTTTTCCTCCTATAGAGCTCACTTTGATTACACAATTTATAGAAACGGCCTGCCATTTTTAAGGCACAAAAACCCTAATTTAAGTATTGTACCAATCAGATAAATTGTATAACTCAAGAAATCTTGGAACCACTTAAAATTGGATACCAAACACAAAATGAAAATGTCTTTTTTTCAACTTAGCACGTACAGCGTTTTGGCTGTATCACACAAATTATTCTCCACAAAACATAACAAGGGTAAGATGTGCAGAATTTTATAAAAAGTTGATCACAAAATCAGTAAGCAAGCATGCAAGTGGAAAATGTTTCTTAGTGATGTACTTAACAAGCGAGGAACTGTTGTAACCTCAAAGAAATTCAGGCACTTCCTACAAATCTGTGCTCTCCGTCACTGGTTTCGTGGGAGGCGGCGGAGGTGGTGGTGTCGGACGGGCTATTTTGTTGTTTCTAAATGAGCCTCCTTTGCCTGCAATAAACGTTTTATTTATTTAAATAATAACAAATATATTATTTTAAAAGATTATCACCAGCTCTATCATTATCAAGGACTTCCTCATCTGTGGATTCAGATGCAGATAAATGGTTTTCATTGTTTTTACTCATCTCAACGGGCAAATCAAAGCTCCCTACAGTAAAAAAATAATTTAATTATTAAATGATTTTCAAAATAAAACTGGTGCAAACCTAGGGACAAGGGAGATGCGGCCTCTTGAGATTTGGTGTGGTTGGCCTCATCAATTGTATCATTACTTTTGGCTCTAAAAGAGTCGCGGAGAGATGCTGGCCGCTCAGGTATTGCCGGCCTCTCGGGAATAACAGGTCTCGGTCTTTCTTCAACACTTTTCTTGTCAGCCGAGTTTTCCTCTGGAATAATAGTCCTCGGAGCAGCAACAGGAAACCGAGGCTTTTGGGCAACAACAGGTTTTTCAGCTAACTCAGGATGGGCGTTTCCGTGGTCACCACTGTGACGCTGCATGGGTTTTGGAGCAGGAGTCGGAGCAACAGGCTCTTTTATGATTGGGCCATCTTTTTGCGGCATTCGTTCCTTTGCACACTCTTCAACCTTTGGCTTTTCAGGAAATAACAACTTGACACGCTCCTTTGGCTGTTCGACTTCCTCAACTTTTGGTTTCTCCATAATGCTGTGCCTGGTTTGCTCTTTAGGTTTCTCATCAGACTTTTGCTTTTCAACAGATGGGTTCTTGATGGCAGGTGAATGAGATGGTCTAGGTGGTCTTTCGACTTTTTCTTTAGGAGTATGTGATGGTGGGATAGGCGCTTGTTTGTTTTTTCGGCGTAAAACTGGCTTTGGACTTTGAGGAGGGCTGAAAATTAGTTTATTTACAAGTCATGATGGATTTATAATAATTTCCACTTTACCTGCTTTGATCCGTCAAACTGCTGTTTGAATGCGCTCTTTTAATGGCCCCAGGGTCTGGAGGGCTGTTGATGAGAAGAGTGTCTGCACTACTGTTTCGAGAATGTCCTTTTTCCGAAGATGACGACTTTGATCCATTTGTTTGACGGTGACTTGTACTCATTTCAGCAGGGTCGGGCTTAGGAATAGTCACAAAAAACTCAGTTTCTGCAGACAAATACAAAATTTCAAAAGAAGTAGGACAAAATAAATTGCAGTAAATACCTCCAGGGAACAATTCATCAGCATGGGAGACTAGATTATCCACAATGAAGCTGTGAACATTGGCTGTGCTCATATTCAGACTGGAAATATAATAAATAAAAATAAATTATCAAGTCCTACCACAAACTTGCAATACACACCCCATTCCACTGATAGCATCCTGCTGGCTCCACATAAGATTTGGTGCGATCACAATTGCAATGTTCTGTGGAGTCATTTTGTTCACGTCTTGGTTTTTGCACAGTAACGCAAAGAACTTGATGAGATATCTCAAGTTGTCCTGGTTTGCTTCAGGTAACAGGTCTATCACCTCCTTAAATGCTTTGATTCGATCTTCAGCTACAGGAACCCTATTAAATATAAATAAAGATATTAACTGATGCAATAACTGAAGTGGCAAATAGTCTTACTTTGAAGCGGCTATCCAATTAGGATACAATTTATAGGTCATCAAGGGCTCAGGCAATTCTCTCAAGTAGGATTTAAGTGCGCCAGCGACCACGGCTGGGTCATTGTAATTTAACGCTCCCTCGAAAGTGAGGCAGTTTGCGTCTAGATTCATTCTCATTCGGCGGACTTTGGACGCCCCTAAAATACATAAAAAATTTCAATTTTCCAGTTCAACAAAGAGAAAATTTGTACGCACCTCCAGCTACTCTGAAAAGACCTTCCTCGTCCATTCCGAGAACCAGCAATGAACAAACACATACCTCAATGGGGTAGGCGATTTTTATTTTGTTCACACGAAGATGCACATCCAAAGATTCTCCATAGACTGGCCGTTTAATATTATCTCCTGAAAAATACTATGAAGAAAAGCAATAGTCGTAAAACATTCGACAAACCTAGGTCTACATCAAGCACAGATGCCGCCTTCTCTAAAAAATGCAGGGCTTTTTCATGATAAGCCTTCTGAATTGCAATATGCTCTGCTATGTATTTGGTAATTTCCGCTTCTTTTGAGATCAACTGGTACATCTCTGTTGCCAACAAGTCCTTTACACAAAAAGGTTTAATATTTAATAAAAAAATAATATTTCAATACTCACTCTACACTGATCAACTTTGAACTGCGCTTCATCCATTTCTTCTCGGATTGAGTCAATTTTTGTGCCAGGCATATTATTGCTATGCTTCACAGCTGTTTGATATCTGTAAAAAGCAGACATTAGTTCAGTATCTAGGAAATAAATTATAGCTCGGTAAATTTTAATGTTCAATGGCGTTAAAATAATTTGAACTGAATTTGATAAAATACAAAAGTGACTTAAAGATTTCAGGAGTTATAGTAAATATAGAACAGAGATAGTGTGAATATTCCATTTTAAACAAAAATGGCTTCACCATAAAGGTCAACAAAGGCAATCGTCTTTACCAGACAAGGGTATTAGATCGAATAGACTATTTGAAAACAAATTCCATTATCAATTTTTGAGCTACTTGGTTCAAAGTTCAAAAATCAAAAGGACCTAGTTCTTGCTGCGTCCATGTCCAAAACGAGCTTTGCTAGGTTTCTTTTGTGCTTCACAATGCTGGGAATGTCATTGTCAATGACAGTCTGCAACGGGTTGACAACGCTGTTCTCAATCTGCAGGTCCATGTCTACATAAGTGTGGGCCAGAGTGATCTCTATGGAGCCACACTTCTCCAAAATATTTCTTCAAAAATTATTAAGAAATTTAATAAAGACTTGGATTTTTTTAAATTACAACTTACTTGAGCATGTAGCTTTCGTCGCAGGCAGCGCTCTCCTTCATTGCTTGCCCAAGTTGGTATTCTGGGCACTTTTTCTAAAACAATAAAACACATGTCAGTGACATTTTCTTTATCTCAGCAGTTGTTCCATATATTTGTTTTTTTTCTTCTTATCTATCCCCAGGTGCGTCACACTTGTGAAAATTGCGTGTAGTTTTTCTTTCTCTTTGTAATAATAAACTATTTGCACACACCTATAAAAACATAAAGAATTTCTCTCACCAGTCTCTTTTCTATCGACGAGTCATCTGAGCCTTGCCCTAAAAGATAGGCAGCCAGCTTCTTGTTGTAATTGGTACATGCGTTTTTGAGGAACTCGACATGCTTGTCGATCTCTTGTAGATCATCGGAGAGTAGCTCGGTCTTGCCAGCTCTGCAAACGGACGTGTCAATTTAAATTTAAGTGCTATTATTTTAATTGTGTGCAAGACACTTTAGCGGTCACACCCACAAGAATTAAATAAAAACTCTTGTGTCCCCTTCAAATTAAATGATTATTTTTATGTATTTCCTTCTAAAGACATTTTAAAGGAAAAATTTCAAATTTCAATTCAAAGGGCGAGATAAGAAAGCCAAATAATTTGACACAATGGAAAGTACAAAGGTTGGAAGGTCAAGAGGATGCTGTCATTATTTTTACCTTGAGAATGTCTGATCAGCGAGCTGCTTCACACGGAAGAATTGTTTCTTCATTTTCACGTCCTGTTCGGCTCAAACTTCTCGTCCGACCAAGGAAATACGAAACCAAATTCAGTCATGAGACGGAAGTTACAAAAGGCTGGAAATGGTAAAGTTTCAGTGCTCGTCGTAACTCGTAATACGTATGACGAGAGGAGGAATTCTGGCCAAAAAGGGAAGGGTGAACCCAGTGATAAAATCACACTTCAGTTATCCCACTTTCGGCGAGAATTTCTCGCCCTCCGCGGCAAAATTTCGTTGAAACTACGAAGAAACCAACCATTAGTTAGGTACGCACCTTGGCCAGGGTGACTTGAGGGCGAAAACAAAATAAAAACAAAGTGGTTCTCAAATGGTGCACATCAAACGAAACGAAGAACGGTGCTTTGTGTTTTGTTGGTAACGCCAATCACCAATCGCCGCATTCATCTGCAGTTCGCCCCTTCCATGTATAGAGGGCGGGCGATCGTTTTCCGTTCACGTCCGTTCCATGTTCCGCCGTTGCCTCACCAGATGTCTCTGCACGACAAAAAGTAATGAAAAGCCCCTCAAACTAAACTAAAGTTTATGGAGGAATGACCTTGCCTTCCCTGTCTTATTTTTTTTTGCTCAACTCGAGGCTTCTTTCGCGGATCGAGTGGCTAGTTTAGCACTTTTGGGCCGTTTCGCAAAGCAGTGGGTCAAGGGGCGCCTGGCAGGGCGCATTGATCGACTCCGCTTGTCCCCGGAAAAGCGTCAAAACTGGAGAACTTCGGGGCAAGGTACCTGACGTTGGAGGACAGTTGCTTTCTGGACCTCGTAATTTTCGACGTTGAGACCTTCCGCAAAGCCAGTGACGACTGCCAAAGGTTTGTATAATTTGCTATTTGTTTTCTGATTTTACATATTTCTCATCTTCATTTTAATTTTAATTTGTAGAATTTTATATTGTATGAATTAATAATATTTTTTTATGATGCAGAAAAAGAAGAAGCACTAATCTTGAGCACACATAAAACCCGCTTTATATGCATGTCAAAAAATAAAATGAAAATATGTATTTATATGCAAGCATTCACAATACAATGGTATTATGTAAATAAGTTTGTTTTTTAATTTAATAATATTATTTTAGTTAATTACTGGAACTATGATGATTGAAATCATAGCTCGTCAAAATTATATTAATTAATTATTATTATTATTTTTGAGGTACCTCTTTTATTTGTGGGCAACGGCGCCAATCACACTATGATATTATGTACTGATATTATTTCCAGAATGGATGACACTATTTTTTTTATGAATTTGTATCCTTAAAAAAAATGCGCACTTTTTTTTTTTTTTTTTTTTTTTAATTGTTTATCCCTCTTGGGAAAGGCACCAGAGGTAGCAGACAGGCTGCTAAATCGCAAGGGCCGATAACTCGGATTCTCCCCTTTCGGTGACCTTGCGACCCACTGGGCCAGGGAGAAGGGAGTGTAGGATGGGTTTGTATGTTGGGAATTTTAAGGATGAGGAAGGTGAGCGGCTGCGGCTTTACTACTTCATGCTTTACTACTTCATGCTTTACTACTTGCAAATTTAGTTTATTCACTCACGAATTATGAAACTTATTTATTAATAAATGTTCAAAAGTTAATTAATCTTTGCTCACAATAATTATAATTAATATCGCCAAAACTAATTAAAATAATCATAACCAAGGAGATCATAACTGAACAAGCAGCTATGCAGCGAATGAAGTTCAATTTCCTCTAGTAAAGTATAACAAGCGTGACGCTTTTGCAAACGCCTTAAAACTTGAACCGCAGCGTCAGGGTTAACCCTGGCGTAACCTTGCCTTGAATGCAAAAATTAAACGGATATATCAACAAACCACTAACCAGTTTGTTTTTGCACTTCAGATATTTCTTTATATTCAAGTCAAATTAAAGTGATTTAATAAAGCATTTTTACTTACTTCTTACGTCATTTTTCATACAAACAAAAATTAGTTTTATTGAATGAAGACAAATCTTAAACTTATATGCACGATAAAATCATTTCATTTTTCAGTTTGTTTCAACTTCTCTGCAGCTGTATGAGGGGTTTGAATACATTGAAAGTGAAATTAATTTTTCCCCGCTGTTTAAATAAAAAAATTTGCAAAGCTTTCAATAAGTGTTTTACCTTTATTAATAAAATAATACTGAAGTTTCATTAATTTTTGGACTTGAAATAAAAAAAGGTTAACTGAAAAGATAATTAAATCTTACAATTTGGTGTTAAAGTAATAAATTAAATTGAATCAGTTCCCAAGGGAAAAGCAAGATTGCTGATTAGTTTGGAGCAAGTGAGTTTTTAATTTTTTTCTGATATCAGCAGCACTCGACCTTGCACAAGGTAGAAGCATCCGAGAGTTTAATATTATTGTCATTATTGTGACGAGCGTAATATAAATATGTAACACACGGCAGCGTGTAATGTAATGGTCGAGGTCTGCTGCCGAGAGAGAGAAAGACCGACTGCACTTTCACTCGTGTGCAGTGAGAGGTCTGTGTCTTTCCCAGCGCCGGCGACTCCGAGTGAAAGTGCAATAGCACAACGAAAAATGTAATCGCGACTGGCGTAAGAATAGCGTCTCATTTCTTTTTTTGTATGCTTCGCAGAGTACTGCTTTTCCCGGCCGTCAACAACTACAGGCGCTTTTTGATCCACAAGACCGTCGAGCAGTTCCCCGAGCTCAAGACCTTTTCCGTCGGAGAGGGGTATGCGAGGAGAACCGTGGTGTGTTTCGTCAAACAGTCCGAAAGGTGAGTCTTGCAGAGTTGGACGCACCGAAAATTCTAAAATTTATCCTCACATAGACAAGCTTTGATCAGCTTGAGAGAAAGGGAGACGGCCATGGCAGCGACTGAGACCAAAAAGAGTGAGGAAAATTTTTAGTTAAGTCTTCATTGGATTTAACTTTTTTTTAAGCAGTGTCCTCGAAACCAATGCCGGTTGTTGGGATTTATCAACCGCCTGCGATGCGGGCCGCAAGAAATTCGACTGATAATGAAAACGGAGACTCCGCCTCAATTAACTCGGGGTATGATAACAAAACATTTATATTGTGATTAAAAGGGAAACTCAAGAGAAACTAATTATTCCACAGAAACATTTCTTCACTTGTTAAACACTTAAACTTAAAAATATGCAGCTATATTAATCAAAAAATCATAATGGTTTTGTTTAAATATATTTTGATAGAAGACATTTTTTTAAAGGCTAAATTTTTATTTGTAGTCGCAGGCGTACTGAGCCTAAAGCAAAAAGGTTTTTCTATGGGATAAAATGTTGATTGTTTCAAATAAAACGTGATTAAAAAATCATGCATGTTTAATTTTATAACTTTTACAATTAAAGAATTTTATCGCATTGTTTATTATTATGTTTTGTGATTGTTAAATTTTTCTTTCAGATCCCGGTTATCCAAATCCAAACGGCCTGACTTGCAGGTTTATGTGCCTAGAGCCCGCAGACAAGCGGCAGATTCACCTCCAGAGTGTGCAGCTCAAACCACACCGTCGCCCCCGAAGGCCTCTAAAATCCGCAATGCTTCCCCAAATGTGGTGACTCCCAGAAAAAAGTCTGCCACCAAAACGAATAATAAGGGCCTTGGTAGCAAATCACAATCCTGCGACTCGGATACGTCTAGCTGTGATCTTTTGGAAGACAATAGTTCTTTTATTGAAGAAGAGAAAGCAGTGGCTCCTGTCACTGCAATTTTAAAAGAACCAACTGTTTGTAAAGACAAACCTGAAGTTACCAATGAAACTGTCAAAGGTGTTGAAAAATCTGAAGAAGAGTGTGTTGTTTTCAAAGGAGACGTTTCAAGTGAGAGTGATGTGGTGGAGGAAAGTGAAGAAACTGAAACAATCGCTGTGCCACGTGCTACGGAACTTATTCAAAGTGCTACTCCTAGCCTGCCAAAATTTGTTCCGCAAGACTTAGGTGCCGAAGGAGATTCTTGGGATGCCATGTTTGATGACAATGGTGACTGCCTTGACCCCAAAATAATGGATGAGGTAATTCTCTTAATTTTTTTCCTATCCAGGACTAATTGTTTTAATTTAGCTTACAAAAACAGTTGGAAAAGTAAAAATTGACAAACCAGCATCGGACTACCGCAATTATGAAGAAGCAAGAGAAAAATTGTTGGCAGAAAGTGATTATTCCCACGTTCTTGAAGTTTTTGGGTTCCCTGCGGAGTTCAAAACTCCTGATCTAGTTGCTGTATTAAACCCATTTGCTGGTCGATCTGGCTTTGATTTAAAATGGGTAGATGATACCCATGCCTTGGCAATTTTCAGCAATTCCCTAATAGGTTTGGAAACACTTGTATTGACAATTCAAATGATTATAAACGTAATAAATTTTTCAGCTGCTGAAGTTTTATCAATGAACCACAACCTGTTCAGTGTGCGACCTTTGTCTCAAGCAAGCGCAGAATCAAAATCAAAAGCAAAAAAATGTCCTCAAACTCTACGGCCGTACCGACCCAGACCTGAGACATGTTCTGCCATGGCCAAAAGACTTGTGAGCTCAGCCCTGGGGGTCCGACTCACCACCACTAAGGAAGAGCGAGAAAAAGAAAAGAATTTACTGAAAGAAGCAAGAGGTAACAACAATTTTCTATGCTTTCACTTTCTGAATTATAATTTTGTGATATTGCAGAAAAGAAACGATTGGCTGTTAAACAGAGCCAGGATGCCTGGGAGGGCACCATCAGCAGCTTCAAATCGTAAAATTCATGTTAATGTTCATCTTCTAGTCATGTTGAATGAATATTTTAACTATTTTTGGTACATAATTTTTGTATGTTTTGTATCAAATAAATAATATTTAATGCTGTTGTCAGCATTAATTTTTCTTGGCTCTTGTAAGACCCACTAGAATTATAATGACAGTTGTATTTTATGTTGATAATAGGACAACACAAATTGTAAATTGTGACATCAATAAAATCAAAATAAGAAATAATTAATTTTGTATTGGTAAATTTTTTATTTCATTTGTCTCCAAAAAGAAACACCAGTATTCTTTTTTGCAACAAATTTTATTCATAAAGCAAAATTACCACTTTCCTTTACCCTTCTTTTTCTTCTGCTGTTGTTTCTTCTGGTAACCTCGGGGAACAGCATCAGGACTGGCATGGGTTTGCGGAGATGCCTTTGCAGCAGGCACACGTCCCGACATGTCACTAAAATGATAATGTACCATAACATTGAATTCAATTAATTCAAGACAAACAACTTACAATTGTTCACTGGCTCCATAAGCTGTTCCTTGAGAGCCTTTGAGTTGTTCTTTCACACGCCTGTCTTTCTTTTTCTTGTATCCAGAGCGCTCGTATCTTGGCAACCAGCGTTCTGGGTCGGGAGTAGCACCTGCAATGTAGTTCTTGGGCAATTTTCCAGGACGCTTCCTTCTCTTCTTTTTCTTAGAAGTGAGATCGCTATAATATACCTTTAAGTACCAGTTAAACAAAGTACAAGCAAAAAATTACCCTGTCATTGGACTGGCTTCCACCTTCGTTGTCACCTTCTTCATCACCTTGGTACCCATAATCCAGCTGGATGTCTCCAAGGCATCAATGTCAGTGCTTTGTGACAGTTCGCCAACTGGTGGCAGCTTCTTGCTCAACTCCTGAGCCTTCTTAGGATCAAACTAAAGAATTTTTTTATTATATTCAGAACTTTGAAAACTCAAAATTGTAGCTTACCTGGGCATAAGCAATAACAAGCTGGGCTAAAGTTTTCATGTCAGAGGGATTAATTTTGAGCAGCTCTTCAAGACTGCGAGCGGCCACTTGGGGCTCTCCCCCTCGAAGGTGGAAATCAGCAGCTTGTCTCCAAAGCATGCTTAGGTTTGACTGAGAGCCGGTCTGTTAAAAAAAAGTATTAATAAGTCATCATGAAGGTGGTTTTAATAATTAGAAATGTACCTTATTCTTTCTGTACCACTCCACAGCATCTTTCAAAACTGACGAGGCAGAGGCCCTGTCATTGTTGGCCAAGTAGAGAGTGACCAGTGCACTGACCACTCCTGGACAGAAGGTCGAATCTCCCATATTCTTGAGAACGTCACAAGCTGTCTTCCTATCACCCTGAGTAGAAAATAGAGAAAATTTTATTACAAATATTAAAAAATTTCATCTGTTGTGAAATATAAAAATAATTAATACTTCAAAATTTTTGTACATACCTCGGCAAGGTGCATTTGCACAGCAGCTAATTGAAGTTCAAGTTTCCTCTTGGGATACTGCTTGCTCTCGTTTTGCAGCAGCTTTCCAGCATCACCGACCTTTCCGTCCCTGGCCAGGGCAGTTGCTCTGATCAAGACCAACTCCTCCCGAGAGGACGGATACTGCTTGGCCACTTTGTCGCAGAGAGAGGCACACTGCTCCGACTGTCCTGTGAGAGCGGCCAGCAGACTTTGGTTTATGGCGATGGCCTTGCGCTGCCTGTGGGTCAGTTTGTGCTCCAAGCCGTCGGCAGTGGCACTTTTGAGGCGCTTCTTGCTGTCAAACAAATTGCCTTCTCTGTTCAGAGTGGCCAAGTTGTTGCTGGCAATGGCAACTAGGGCAATGTCGTCAGGTTTCTGCTTTAGGGCCTTGTTGTAAATCACCTGGGCCTCTTTCTCTCTGCCCATTTGCTGAAGGCAGAATGCCAACTGGACGCTGTTAAAAAGGTAATTAATAAATAAATTTTTTAGGGAAGAAGATGAAACGCACTTGACGATACTAATTTCGTCTTCGATGTCCTCTTCAGCGACACCATCCTCTACCAAAGACTCTCTGCACATTTTCTCAGACTGCTTCAGTTTCTTTTCAGCCTCCTGCAGCTGTCCAGTGCCCAAAAGCCGACAAGCAGCGTTGTAGACAAGTTCGTAAGAAGATTCTCGCAAAGTAGGCAAGTCCCTTTTCTAGTGTACCATTAAGAATAAATTTATATAAAATTGGTTTTTATTACCGATCCTTCAATGCTCAAATTAGCAACTACTGCTGCCAAATTTGTCTCTCGCTCATCCTCGTAATCATCAGCGTTGGATTTGATGATGTCACGATAAACATCGAAGCATGTTTCAAAGCTTAACATGTCATTATAAAACATTATTTATCAACAGTTTTTTTTTAATATACATACTCTTCCAGTCGGTAAAGAACTTGGGCTTTCAACTCCTTCAACTTTTGGTCAAGAGGTCCAGCTGCGTTGATGGTGTCGAGAGAATCCTTAGGCAAATTTAGTCTGTACTGACAATAGGCCTTTTCAAAAGAAAAGTTGCTGGAATGTATTATTCTATTTATTAATATTTATGTATTAATTTAACAGATTGATCGGCATCCTACCCAGAAAACTTTGAGCTTTTGTTTATAGCCTGGAGAGCCTCTTGGAATTTTGATGTTTGAATGAAGCACACCAGCTTGCAGTGAAAAGCTTTCTCTTCATCAGGAAACTCGTGCAGCACTGTTGAAAATTTTGAAGACACAGGTTAAAACGCAGTTTACAATGCATTTTAATATGTTCAAATTCTAAAGCGACTATTGAGCCAAAATTTAAAGAAAAATATCATAAAGTGTGGCATATGCTCAAAATATTTGTTAGCGAAATTAACTTTGTTTTACATAGAGATCTTACATCGATTGCAAACTTTGAGAGCTCGCTCGTAATCTCCATTAGCTCCATGGCGATTCAAATCCGCGTAAAGAGAACTCGGGGACGCATTTTTGTTGGCCCCTGCCATCCTTGCTGACGGGACCTGAATTTACTGATTTACTTGATGGACTGACTCCACAAATCAAAATAACATTGAACATGTGTAAGTGGGCGTGTAAAATTATTGACATAATGCCAACCTAACAAAAATCTAAAAAGTGCCGGTTCTTGTAATTTATACAAAATTATCCCCACAAGCGTGTTATTTAATTCCAAAATTGTTTTAATTTGTAATTTGGTTAAAAATAATGAAAATTTCTCCTAATTTATGATTTAAATAAATTATTCAAAATACGGATAATTATTTGCTATCTATATCGACAACAAGACAACAAGAACAAGCCAAGTTGCAAGTTGTTTCAGCACCTGCGGTGAGAGCGGTCAGCGGTCGGTGACTGCAGGTGGCTCCACAGGTCGCCTTCTAATAATAACCAGAGGAATGCATAGAGCACATGCAAAACATCACGAATTAGCAACTTAATTCATCTCCTCCTCCGATTCCAGGTAATTTATTATCACGCACAATTTTAAACGTAAATTATCTTGAATAACATGCACCGAAACTCTGATAATGTTCATTAAAGTACGCAAGTCAATTATGCAAGTTAGGAATGTTGTTATTTCCGTGTCCTTGCAGTGGCAACGCTGTGGTGGTCAGAGTGGTGGAATAGGCGCACTTCGCCTGTTGCTTCAAGGAAATAGTGAATAAAAATCATTAATTCTCCTCAAATCGTCCTCGCACTGTGATGAAAGGCTGACCATGGACTTGGAAACGCCTTACAAAGAAGGGTTCATGCTGGTACCTTTGCAGTCAGGCCTTTTGAAAAAGGTAAATTAGTCCGTAATTGTCTTATTTGCTTATTAAAAAAAAAAAAAATACATCTGTGCGTATATAAAATTCAACTAAAATTTCATTTTACTTCAGAAAACATGGCACAAGAGGTACTGCAAGTTATTCAAAGCAACCAAGCACGGACTGCAAAGACTGGAAATTTTTGAAACTGATGCTGACAGCACCTGGAAGAACAATATAATTAAATTTGTCACCTTGGATAATTGCATCAAAATCTCTCCAAACCCCCAGAAAAATCAGCCGCTGAGCTTTTCAGTAATATTTACAATAAAACTTTATTTATTTTAGTAAATATTCTTTTCAGATTTTGGCTAGAGGCTTCACGCAAGATTTCGCAGCACTAAGTGATTCTGAGCTCTACGAATGGGTTTCTTGCTTTCAATCTGCTGCTTTCGATAAGGACGACGGCAGTAGGCCAAGTTCAGGCGTAGACGAATTTGAGGAGAGTAATGACCTTTACTGTTCGGCGAATGAAGGTGAGTCTAAATTTAGACAAATTTCTTAAGGGCTTGAATTTTATTACTCATTTTATCGGAATAATACAGGAAGTGACTAATGCTTTGACTCAATTGATTAGAAAACCCAGGAAGTGGGAATCAAATCTTATACTTCCCCCTTTTTTACTAGAAAAACGATAAATCCAAACCAAGATTAATTAGCATTATCAAATTTTTAGGCGTTTTTACTGTCCAAGTGATTCCGACGACGGCTTCAAAACGGTGTAATCTCGTTGATGCTGATTACACGTTGGTTGTGACCAGGAACGCTCTTCAGCTGAGGACGTCCCTTCCAAATGAGCGCCTGCTCTACACTTGGCCATTCATGTACATCAGAAAGTATGGCAGCAAAAATGGAATTTTGTCCTTTGATGCCGGACGCAAGTGTGACTCTGGAGAAGGAACCTTCCAGCTGAAGACAGACCAGCAGAAGGGAGTCTTCCAGTGCATTTCAACAACTATGAAGAACTGGCGACAAATGGCAAAGAACGACGAAAGTCAACTTCAGCTGTCTTCGTCCCAGAGCATGATTGTTTGTGGAGATAGTCAGTTCCAGGTCAGCTTTTAAATTGTTTTTATTTCTTAAAACATCAAAGTTATTTACATAAATAGAATTTAAAAAATAAAATAAAATCTTTAGAGTAAAAACTGATCATCATTATCAATGAGTTTGTTGAAAAAATCTTAATTTATAGCTCTTAAAGCTAGATTGAAAGTTTTTTTTTCTTGAACTTTTGAATAGTTAATTTTATCAAATTGTTTAATACAATTCCAGGCTGCCTTGAGTATGGAACCCGGCTCAAGGACACCGCTTCCACCCTCTCCAACGACCGCCACCAACTCCTCGTTGGGAATCATGGCCGAGTTCAACTCGGCAATAGAAAACAGTTCGAAGAACAAGCAGAAGCCCCGCAAGCCCCCTCGAAAAACCACCAATATCTCGCAACCAAAAGAATACGACCATGTTGAAGTAATTAACCATGCGTGGAAGACCCTTGGCATTGACGACTTAATGCACACAGAGCACGTCACAAATGACGATGTTGAAACCAACGTCAGGAAGCTAAACACTTTCATGGAGGAGGCACCGCTGAACAAGCAGCGTACTTTCATCTCCCAACCTTCGGTCGAGTCTTTGGAGGATTATGATACCCTGCAACATTTTGCTGCACCTTCGGCCAATATTAAGTTCACAAATGACATGGGATTATATTCTCAGGTAAATTTGAAATGTTTGTAGTTTTAAAAGAATTCACAATTTATTTATTTCATCAGGTTAATGAAGCACCACCACCAGTTGTGCCGAAAAAGGTCGAAGCTCCGGAACCGTTGTCGTGGAACGAGTACGATGTCATAGGTGTGGACAGCCAAGAGAGGTTTCGAGTTGCAGACGATTCCCACCAAGGCTATGGTTCCATTCGCAAGGTCAGTCCTCAACCTCAAGTAGCGAACTCGGTCTACGCCGAAGTGGTGAAGCCGAAAAAAGTTTGATGCTAGTCAAAAATTACTCTCATATTTGTTCCAAAAGCTGCCCACGACCTCAATCAAATTTGATACTTTTTTCTTCTGAACATGGAATCTGCTTTGTTTGTGTTTTACCCAGGGTTTGTTAGAGCTTCAGATTCCAGACTGCTTAAATCATTTGAGATGATTGCATTTCATGTGGGTAGCGTAATTAATCAGTGATCTACAATTTAGCCCCTTAGACTGTCACGAGAAAAGTCAGTGTGACAATTCCATTGGGCGTCTGAGCTTGGTAAAATTAATTATTGATTTTGTACTTTTTCTTTTTTCTTGGCGCGACTTTGTAAAATTTCAACTGCCTCATAATTGCATTCCAAGGTTTATCTCAATTTTCAGACTAATTATTCACTATTTTTTTTTTATGTAAAGCATCTTGAGTCTTAATGAAGTGACTAATTTTACTGGATTTTATAGCCGTTATATTTGATCACATTTTATTTTCAATACATTTTTTTAACTGCTCTGCTAGGATTTTATTTTATCAAACTTATTTCATTCCATTTGAATTTTAACTTTTATTTTATATATTATTGTGCCATTTGCCTGATCTTTATAGTGTAATATGAAATATATTTTTAATGAAGAGGTTCAGGAAATGTGTGACCTTCCCTTTTCACCGCCATATGCATTCCAACCAAGTGCCTTATTAATTAAGTGCAATTTGCAGAACATATATAACAAATTGTTATAAATCACCTTGTTTTGTCACTGCAGAGTGAGCATCACATTACTGTATAGACATTTGTCAATAAATAATAAAAAAGAACGCCAAGTGCATTTTTACTACTTTGCCGAACCTTTGCGTTTGAATTATTTATATGAAGTTTGACCCGCACTCGTTCCGGTCGTATATCATGTTTGAATGATGATTATTTGCACAGTCGGTGTCCCATATTCCACGAGAATTAGGGCAGCACAGCCGACCTTGCCTCACTTATGATCTACAGTAACAAAAAGATCGCCCACCGGCTCTTTATAGACTGTTTATTTTTCCACTACGGCCAAGTACGAAGACACTATTACTGCACCCACACACCACTTTTACTTGCTCAAACCACTATTTGAATAATAAGCAAAATGTGCTTACAAAGTCATCTTTAAACTTCTTATAATTTCCTTGCCAAGTTTCTTGGATTTTTGCTGGTATTTTTTTTTTTTAATTTTTCTTATAAATTTAAAAAAAAATGTTTATTTAATCAATATTTATTGCTATTGAAACATTTTTTTATTATTATTTGCGTTTCAATCGAAACAATTAATATTTATTTTCGTGAATAAGATTTTATTAACTAACTTCAACATTTTTAATACTGAGTTTTTGACTTGTAATATAACTTATGGATATGGATCCACTTAATGACAAAGTTATCTTGAACTGAATGTAATTTTATTTAAGTGTCATTTATTTTTCCCCCCTTAAATTTTTATGATTATTTATAATCTGATGAATTCTATGCATTACAAAGCACTTTGTATAAAAGGAAACCTTTTCAAACTTCTAAATCGTTGTTTGCGAATTAAAATTATAATTCAGCGTCTGAAAATAATTTTTAATGTTTTCAATAAAAAAAAAAAATTAAGCTCACGGTAAACATTAAAAGTGTCTCAAGGCGAGCCGATTTGATAGACAAAGTTGTTGGCCGCGGCGGCGATCAAAAAAAGATGATGTTTATCCCGCGAGCGGCGATGTAAGCAGGGGTGGGATACATAAAGAGCGGTCTGCGCGCCTCATGCACAGCCAGAACCGGACCGACCATGGCCTTGACTACACTCGCCGTATTCTTCGTCCTGCTGGTGGCAGCCTCCGCCACCCAGCAGAACTGTCCCGCTGACACTCTGGCCGTATACAGGGTGGTGCTCAACACGCACTGGACCAAGGAGCTCTTTCCGAAACAGTACCCGGAATTCCGTCCGCCTGCACAGTGGTCCAGGCTTCTTGGTGAGACTTCAATTTTTCCAAAATATAAATTGCTTTAATAGGTATGATTTTATTAAATATTGAACAAAGAAAAAGTTAATTATGCAGTTTCCATAAATTTTATGAAACAAAATAAGTAACAATTTGTGGGTGTCTCATTAGAGAATTAATTTAAAGTTAAAATTTAACGGTACGTTAATTTTGTCTTATTTTATAGCAAGGATTTTCGCGCTAATTTCAAGTAAATTCTAGTTAACAATTAATAAAATTTGAGATGATTTGAGATTAAAACTCTTCACACGTTCATTGCGTCAAGGATTGATGGATATCAAGGCTCTTTTGTTTATTTTACAGTTTATTATTATTTTAACTCTTTTATTTGCTTCAGATTTTTTATCTTATTGTTAAATAAATAATAATATTTGCTTCACTGTAGCATTGTTTTTCAAGAAAGTCATCCATCAATAAGTAAATATAAACATCTTTCATATTGACTTTTTCTTTGATAATTTAAATTATTTAATAATCTAGGATTTTTTAGAGAAATATCATGTAATGTTGTATATTATTGCTTAATTTAATTTTAGTTTTAAAATTAATATTATCTCATGGCGATTTCAACAGGTTTGAACAGAGAAAGCAATAATGAAGTATTACATGGAAAATACTTTAAACCAATATCCGTGTTGCACAAACACGTGGGTGAAATTTTATTCACATTTGATTGTCATTCTTTATATACCACACCGACACTGAATATTCCAACAATAAAATTATAAACTGTTTAATGTGCGTGGGCACCATACAGTTTTTTATGTGGTTTTTGTGTGGTTTTGAGGATAAGCAAATGGACAGAGCTTTTAACTTTTCTTCTTCCACAATAATTCACGCACTTCCTACGCAAAAAACAAACATTTTTGCTGCTTTTTTTTTTAATTATGTGTTTTCCAATTGCGATGTAGCGCAATTGACGAGAAAATGCGCCGGGCATAAATCGCGCGTTTACAATCGCGAGAAGACAGAATTATTCGACCCACGGCGAGTTGCCAGAGGTGCTAAAGGGTTGGGGTTCGGTGTAAACAATTGGGGCTATTCCAGTCGCTCTCTCGTACACTATAGCCCGAAAGAGAAAGAGCTGGAGATCGAAAATAAATCTGCGAGCTGGGCTTTGTGAGTGACACTCGCTTGCCGGTTTATTGAATCGCGAATTCCTTCAAGCCCAACTTATTTTGCACACTCAATTTTCGCACAAACACTTCGTCGCTCGCCAATCATTGTTTGTTTCCACGGGGATTGTTTCATCATTGCGTGTCTACCTGGCATGTAGTGAGAATTTCAAAGAGACTGCGTGGCGTTTCGCATCCACAGACCACAGATGTATATTTCTTTATTCTTTTGCGATCCGAGCCAGAACTTTTATTCTGTTTGTAATTAATGGGGAAGACCCTGGAACATTTGCCAGTTATTGGGCTTAATGCACTGTGAGTCACCCCCTAAATCTAATTTTGTAAATTTTTCTGCGTCTCATCACGAGCTTTTTGCATTTATAATTAGGGTTTGGATTTTACATAAAATTTAATGGTTTTAGCGGGTTTTAGGTTATATATGATAAAAGTAAGGAATTTGATATCATGCCGAAACTTTGCTAAACGTCGTTTTTTTTTAAACCAATTTATTATTGAATGGTGCTTTTTGGTGAAAAGTCTGGAGTCTTTAAGGTGGAATTTGAAAAAGCTACACAGTTTTGTAATCTTGGTAAAATGCAGGTTTGAAATTTAAAATTGATAGTACCAAAGCAAAGCCTTAAAAACATTTCAATCAAATATTCGTAATAATGAAAACTAGCGTAATAATTATAAAATGTTGTTTTACAACAATATCATTTTTCATAACAGTAATTAATTATTATATATTTAAATTTGGTACATAATAAATAGCTTAATGCAGGTAGCAGTACTACAATGTATCCATCAATCACGATTCCAGCTTAATTTTATTTCTTATCAATACTTTTTTTTAAATTTATATAAATAAGAAACATGAAAAAAGATGGATGGTTTTTATTTACAAGAAAAAAATTTCATATTTTAGATTTTTATATGATTGATTTACACTACAAATAAAACGAAACAAACATATTTTCTGCAAAATTCTCATTATATTTATTAAAACTTAATTATTTTAAAGCTGTATTTTAATTTTTATAATAAACATAATTTAATTATAAACTTCAAATTATAGTTGACCATGTTAGGCATTATTGAAACAGAAAATTTCAAGTTCAGTTAATTAGACAAGGAAGTATTTTGCGCAGAAACGAGGGTGTTGCGAAAGGTCAGCAGCCTCTATGATACACTTTGTACGAGCATCTTTCAAATGAAATGATCACTCATGTTAACTGTTAAAAAGACAAAGAAATGACTCATCTCTCAGCATGACCTAAGCAGATTCGCATCGGAATTGCGCGTGCATTACTGTTCAATGTAAGCGCGTTGCGCAAAAAGTGCTAAATTTAAATTCATCTCGTTTGAATTTAACAACTTTGATTGTTTTTGCGCGCAGGCCGCAGCCACGATGACTCGTTTCAACTGTTCTCCGAAGGCCGGCTGGCGAGTGCGGCGTTACGACAGTTCGCAGAAATCGGCAAATCTGATCTTTTTGAGGCACAGAGGCAGGGCTTTGATGGAATAATGGACACTTTTGGCGCCGATGCCATCACAACTGGAGAAGGAAGGACTTCCGCCAAGTTTTACCTGGACAGTAATCATTCAAAGGCAATTTTAGGAAAAAAGAAACAAAAATTATTGAATAAAAATTTTAATTTTAATTAAGGTTTCCCTTCTTGTTCGAATGGTTCCGTCTCCGGACTGGTTTATTGGAGTCAATTCTATTAATTTATGCAACTCTCACGGCAAATGGGATGACAGAAAGGAGTTGCAAGTAATTATCATATCTTTGATATTTTTAAAAATATCTATATAATTATATTGTTTATTTTCTTTTGTTAGCTCACCTTGATGGACGCTGGAACTGATTCTGGATTCACTTTCACGTCTCCTAACTGGAAAAGTGACCCTCCAATGCCCATCTCCATAATCACGTCAAAGTACCCTGACCATCCCGCCAACTCCTTTTATTACCCTGAGCTCGACCACCTTCCAGTCATTGCCACTTTGCAGTTCAACAAAGTAAATTATTTTTTTCCAATGTGCGCAAAAAAATAAATTAATCTCTCAAAAAGGTCCAAATTTACAATTTGAAGGAAGAGTTCAGCTTTGATTTGGCACCCAGGGCAAACGGGGGCAAAAGAATTTTTGAGGAAAATCAAGATGTCCTCAGCAACAAGCTTGATGTTCACCCAAAAATTTTGACAAGCGTCAGTTCTCAACACGTCCTCTCCGTTGGTTCTGAAGGGCCGATTAGCGTCACGCAAACAAACCGTGATAGGAGGGTGTCCAGGAACCAACTGAGAGCCCTCAGGATGCGAAAATTGAAGAATAGGAGGATGAAAAAGCAGCAGCAGCAGCAACAACAACAGCAGCGGCAACAAAGTCAACAAAGAATGGGTAAATTAGAGTTTGTGCCGGAAGCAGTGGCCAGACAGAGACAGATTAGAAATCGAACGGATAATGACAGGCCTCGCAAAGGTGCTGGTCTTTATATTTTTGTTTGAATGCCTGTTTTCTGTTATACCCTTGAAATGTGTGACATTTTTAGTCACCAATAAATTATATGCTTTGAGCGCTGTTTCCTTAATATTAAATTTTGACACCCTTTTGACCCTTTTCAAATTTTTCCATTTTTTAAAATTTTTTTTTTAATTTTTGTCTTTTTATCAAGCAATTTTTTCGATCTAAATCGACAGATGAGCATTGCGAGCTGTCTCAGTGGTCGTTGTGGTCCCCGTGCAGTGCGACCTGCGGCACTGGCACCGCCATCCGAAGACGCACCGTTGTCAGAAAAGGGCGCCACTGCCCCGAACTTCTCGAGCAGAGTACCTGGTGCAGCGGTTACGGGGACTGCGCCGAGAAATTCTTCAAATGGTAATCACCGAGAGCTGACTGAAAAAATTACTCTTTTTGACGACAAAACTCGACTGCTGCCAACTGATGTTTTAATCAGCGTGTACAATTTTGATAGATTTTGTAATATTTTATAGCCACGTAGCGAATTAACTAAAATTTTCAATGTAAAGTAATTTTAAGGCATTTACAATAAATTTTAAAAATATATTTATTAAGAAAATCCTTTCTTGAATGAAATTTTTTTATTAAAATCAAGCGCCGAATACCTTTAGCGCCTGCCATTTATACTTAATACACGCCCGCCACACAGACAAATGCTGCAGGTTGCCTAACTCGCAAATTTGATTTCGAACGAGGAATGAATAAAGATTTGAGTATTTTGAAGATATTATAGAAATATCACTTTATTGCAAATTAGTCCTTAATATTTACAGCCTTTTTACGAATGCTTGATTAGTAAAATAAATAAGTTTTAAAATGCAGGTTGCAGATGGCACAATGAGATTAACGGCACAAGCTGAACCAAGTAATTCATTAAGTTGGAAAAAGTGCTAATACATAAATAGGTTTATGAATTATTCAGTTCAGATGTAACCACCCTATCATGAGAGTTTTTCTACGTTCCTGCCAATTTTTAGATTGAGTGCTCTCAGAATAATGTTTTCATTTCGATCGTATCTTCCGGTTATACATTAATATGAAAAGAGCGTTTTTGATTTAATTAGATATGAGAGCACTCGTACAACATGACGTTTCTATCGCCTAAACCTCCACCTTTGTAATTCCCACAGCCCCTGGCAAAAGGGGGCCGAATTCTTGCATGAATACTTTTCTGGCAAGTGCTCGATAAGGGCAGTCTATTTTTTCACTCCATTCGGAGCAGCTGCCTGCTGCGTCTGCCGACGTTCGTGAAGTCCACACTCAAGTTCCAGCCCTGCGCGTCGCGGCTGCGTGCGTTGCACTTTTTCGCAACCCGCGTCTCCAGCTCGCAACGCTTGGACACATTCCAGAAAATGAAGCCGTCGGGGCACCGGTTAAACATGCCTACAGAACAAAAATAAATTAAATTTAAAATCCTACAGTTTGATTCAAATTTTTTACCTCTAGCAATTCCACTATCGTCCTTGATACACTTGATGAAGTGCTGGCAGTCGGCAGAGAAACTGAAATATCCCTCACCAGGACAGAGCTGCTCCCTTCCAACCTTGACCTGATTAAATTAATTCATTAAAAAATAAATAAGTAATTAAATAAATAAATATATGTCCTTTACATACATAAAGCTTTGTAAATTATAAATATATTTGCATTTCTTTAATTCTAATAAAATAATTTGAGGTCTTACAACAGGCTTGCTATTTCTGGTGCGCCTGGCAGCCGATTCCTGAGCAATTTCACCGTTGCATTTTTCAGCCTCCTCTGCAAAAATTAATAATTGGGGGGAAAATTAATTTATTTTTTAAAATTTCTTTGCTTTGATTGATTATTAAATTATTAATTATAGGTTGAATTTACCTGGGGCAAGACACTGCTGCTGGTTGTTGTCAAAGATGGTGTTCTCCGGACAGCTGAGGGTGAGAACGCTGATTTCACTGTGGTCGTTCTTCTCCGTGCACTGATAGAACTTGTTGCAGAACTTGGGATGGCGTCTGAATCCAGTGGGGCAAACGTACGAGTACTGGCCAGGTTGAAGTTGTTCACATTCGCTGGTAGCATTTCCACCAGAAGACTCAGTGGTCGATTCGGTGGTTGAAGGCTCCTCAGGGCTCTTTGTAGATTCCTCAGGAGTGGTGGTTTCCTGGGCTGCAGTGGTCGACTCTGTGGTTGTTGCGGCAGGGGTTGTGCTTTCAGTGGTGGTAGACTCCTGTTGGCCCTCGGTGGTGGTTTGCTGGATCTCCCCGGGAGGGGGTGCGGTGGTCTGCTGCTCGGTGGTGTTCTCGCTGGTGGCTGCTGTAGTGGTTGTGGTGCTCTCAGTTGTCGTCGTCTCTTGAGCCTCGGTGGTGGTCTCCTCCTGTTGTTCGCTGCAGTCACGAGGGGGCTGGATGTTCTCAGGGTGGTTGCAGGTGTTGATCGCAGGGTCATAGATGGTTCCGTTGGGGCAACGGAAGAAGTAAACAGAGAACTTCTCACCCTTCTCGTCCCAATCAACACAACGGTAGAAATTGGCGCAGTCCGTAGGGTCAGGGTAGTAACCGTCCATGGTGCAGTTGACCTCGGCAGGTTTGGGATCAACAGGGGTGCAGTTAGGAGGGGCAGCAGTGGTCGACGAAGATCCCTGAGGGGCCTGAGTGGTGCCTTCGCTAGACTGTTGCTGCTGAGTAGTGGTTTCGCTGGACGAGCTGCTGGCAGTGGTGGTCGTTCCTGAAGAAGCAGTTGTGGCCCCTTCCTCTTTGTTGTCACCTTCCTCATCTTTCGGTGTTGTTTGTTCAGAAGGAGCGGAAGTTGTGGTCTGTTCGGAGGAAGAGCTCTGGGTCGTGGTTTGCTGGGCGGTGCTGTTGCAGTCACGTTGGACGTCCCTTTCGTGGTTGCACACGTTGAGTTCAGGATCAAAGACGGTTCCTTCGGCGCAGTCAAACTCGTACTTAGTGAAGCCACCCTTGCCATTGTCGACGCATCGGTAGAACTTCTTGCAGTCACCGGGTGTGGGGTAGAAACCTTCGGCGTTGCATTCTCCCTTATTTTCTTCACTGCTTCCGCCCTGACCACCTTCGCCTCCTTGACCGCCTTCTCCACCCTGTCCTCCTTCACCGCCTTGTCCATTTCCACCATCTCCTCCATTGCCGCCTTCTTCCCCATTTTCTCCTTGGCCTCCATCTCCTCCGTTTGATCCCTGGCCGCCGTCTCCTCCGTTTCCACCTTCGCCTCCATTTCCGCCGTTACCTCCCTCGCCTAAAGAAATAAATAATAATTATTTTTTCTCCCAATCATTCCCACTTGTAATAGAAATTAGATTTAAACAATAAAATTTGTAATCAATATTTTGGTATATTAGCAATCTATTCTAAACACATAAAGCGCGATTTTTGTTAAAGCACATTAAAGCAAAAATTCAGCAAAGCAAATTTTCAGCACTGTAATAGTGAGAAACGTATGTCTCAATTATTTAATTAAATTAGTTCAATATATTCTCTAATAATGCATTTTCCTAATCCATTCACATATTAAGCAATTCTGTCACATCATATATGAACAGAGACATAATTTGCGTGAATAAATTGGGAAGCGCATAATTTAAAAAGTGCAAGCAGCTAATTTTTAATAAGCAATTCACCTTCTTGACCAGCACCACCTTGTTCTACTCCCAAGCTACCATCTCCGCCTTCATGGCCTTCTGTGACCAATTCAGATCCCCCAATGGTTTCGGCGCCTCCTCCTTCGGTTACTGGAAAGACGATTTCTTGTCCACCGCCAGTTTCAATTTCTTCTGTGCCTTCTGATATTTCTGCTGGGCCACCCTCTATTCCACTTTCAGTCACGCTGCTCTCAGTCATTTCAAACTGTCCAACTTCTCCGTTTCCACCTTCCTCGGTAACTTCTTCTCCCTGTTCTCCACCTCCAGCGCCTCCTTCGACTTCTTCACCGGTGCCTCCTTGCCCTCCAGTGGATCCTTGACCTCCGGCGCCACCTTGTCCTCCGGAGCCGCCTTGACCTCCGGCACCTCCTTGACCTCCAGCGCCACCTTGACTTCCAGAACCACCTTCTCCACCGGTGCCTCCCTGTCCTCCAGCGCCTCCTTGCCCTCCGGAAGATTGATTACCCCCCTCACCAAAGCCTCCGCTTCCTTTTAAAGCAAAAAGTGTGAATGTGTAGAATAATTTGGTATTATCAAATTTTCATTGTAGTATGTTTGTGTGTGTGTTGCCAAATGCGAACTATCTACAAAATAACTATCCCATTGAACCATCCATTGCACCCGTTTGCTAATATCAAGCCATTCATGCTGCTGGACCTTACCTCCTGCACCGCCACTGCTGCCATTACCACCATCTCCTAAAAAGAATGATAATATTTGTATGCGTTAATTATTAACCTATTTCCCAATAAATTTTTAATGTGATGCTAATTCATACCTTTATTTAATTATTCACTTTATTTAGAATTAATATTTTGAACAAACTGTTTTATATTAAATTTTAATTGATAAATTAATATCAGAATGGAGAATAATTCTAAACAATTTATTTATGTTTAGAGAACTGAATTGCAAAAAAAAAAACGACCGAAAGAAATTTCCATTTCTCTTGCATCATACCAAACTCATGTGCAAATAAAGGAAGTAAAAAGTTTCAAGAAAAATCACCTCCGCTTCCACCTTGGCCGCCGTTTCCGCCCTGACCGCCTTCACCGCTGCTTCCACCCTGGCCTCCCTCACCTCCTTGACCGTTGTTGCCACCCTCACCGCCTTGGCCACCCTGGCCGCCGCTTCCTCCGTCTCCACCCTGCCCTCCTTCACCTAATTCCCCATTGTGTATTTCAATGCAATGCGTTCTAAAAGTCTATTTAATTTTTTATACCTTCTTCTTGGGTTTGCGATTCATTTGATGGCGTCTTGCTGCAGTCGCGCTGGACGGTATTTTCGTGGTTACAAACGTTGTGGGCCGGGTCAAAAACGGTGCCCTCTCCGCACTCAAAGTCATACTTTGAGAAACTTCCCTCCTTTCCATTAGAAACACAGCGGAAGAACTTCCTGCAGTCGTCAGGGTGGGGGAAGAAACCTTCTTCCTCGCACTCACCCTTGTAGGGGTTGCAGTTGCTGCCCTGACCTCCAGATCCACCAGAGCTTTCTTCGGAGTTAGATGGCTTGGCAGTAGTTGTACTAGTGGTGGTGGTTTTAGTAGTAGTTGTCTGCTCTTGCTGGGCAGCTGTGGTTTGTGCAGGGGCAGCAGTGGTGGTCTGGGAAGCAGGAGCAGCAGTTGTGGTAGTGGTGGTGCTCTGTTCATTATTATTTGAGCTGGAGCCTCCTTCGATTTCGTTGCTCATCTCGTTATTTTCATTAGAGGAGCTGCTACCACTACTTCCAGATCCAGTTCCACAAGGTGCCTTCACGTCCTGAGGGTGGTTACAAACGCTTTTTTCCTCATCAAAGACAGTTCCGTCCCCGCAATTGAAATTATAGGCGTCGTAACCACCATTTTCGTTTGCCACGCAGCGGTAGAATTTCTTGCAGTCATCCTTATCAGCGAAGAATCCTTCGCTGGTGCACTCCCTTTGGACCTCATCGTTTGGCGACGAACCTTCGACCTCATTGTCACCAGGGGCAGGTTCAGGGTTGCTTTGTTGCTCACTCTGCTCGCTGCTGCTGGAACCAGCTTCCAGGGCAGGTTCAGGGTAGTCCTTATCCTCCTCATTGGAGGGTGCAGGTTCAGGGTTGCTGTTCTCAGGGGGAGGTGCACTCTGGGCAGGTCCGGCAGGTTCCGGTTCAGGTTGCGGTCCGGCAGTCTGAGCAGCGTGGCAAGGACCGGACACAGCCCAGGGGTGGTTGCAAGCGGTGATATCAGGGTCGTAAACGGTGCCCTCGCTACAACGGAACTCGAAGGCCGTCAGACCCTGACTTTCTCCATAGTTAACGCAACGGTAGAACTTGGTGCAGTCTTGGGGGTCTGCGTGGAATCCCTCGCTCTGGCACTGGAAGCCGCCACCACCACCGTTCCTCGCAAAAAGCCGATCTCCAAATCCTGCAATTCAAACGGATATTAATTCAGAGAGTATTGAGAATGACTCGGCACATTAAGCAGGTGGTGAAATTTAAAGCGGCAGCGGATTTCGATCTGCATTGTTGTTCTTTTTAAATCGGGAGTATACATTTAATTAGAGTATATATGTGGGCAGAGAAATGCTTTGTTAGGAGGGCCGTTACAGTCAAATACCGAATTAGCAACAGTCATTGCACGCTATTAGACCCCCGGTGCGGTTTGCACAATGGGTACTTTTTTTCGCCTGCCCGCAAAAACGCAAGACGAGTTGTGCGCACGTCAATCTGGCTTATTAATGATCAGCTTTATCATATATTTTGTCCAACGCCAAGAGTGGAAAAAAGTTCACGCACTTAACGACTCGCGTGTTGAATTAAAATTTGCGCTGTGTACAGTTATTGAGTTACTCACCTCTGTAATATTGCATGAACATGTCATTATTCGTGGGCATGTTATAGTAGTGGTGGTAGTTGTATTCTTGAGCACTGGCCAGGGCACCGCATCCCACTAGGAGCAACCACCCGAGGGCGATTTTTTGTCTCGGGGTCATGTCGCGCGGTCTCAGTGGACTCTGCTTTGAAGTATAAATCACTTCTTGCACGCCTGAAACACATGCCAAAAATAATACGTTAGTATAAAGTCTCAAATGTATGGGAGGAGGAGGCGCGGAACAATGCTCTTTTTATTGCCCGCGAGATACTGTCAGAATTTCAATTTGGCCTGTCTGGCAATATTTCAATGTAAAGAAATGCTAGAAGAAAAGAGGCACGCAACCTTCTGACATGCTCGCACAATTTGTTACAGTTTTTTTATACTTGAATTTTAAATCAAGAAGAGATGCTCAAGTCCTCGCCTAATAGAGGGTAATAAAATTGCTAAAAACTACTTGAGTTAAGCAATTTTTTTAAGATTTTATAGCTCAAACAAGGCTACTTATATGCATAAGAATTAACAGATATGAAATAGAAAATAGTTGAAGAAAGCAATAATTTTAAAAATAGAAATAAAATAAAACCAAGGAAACAATTAATTTAAATAATCTACTCAATGAATCCGAGTTTTCAAAGCGACAATAATTAAAAACAATTTCTAATAACAGATTTTTTTTTAAACTAAAAATTTTAACTAGATTAAATAGTATTTAAACTTATTTCTCACGGAAAATTTGGTCACGCCTAATATTATTTATGTTGCCAAACCATCGCGCCTTCTTTATAAATTCAAATCAAATGTGACGGCCGAGAAGTGATTTGAATGCCAGTTTACGCGGAAAACGCGCAGTAGTAGGTTAGTGGTTCTATTGTTTGCCGGGGGATAATATCGGGAGCCAATATGCATTAAACACGCAAGTTCCTGACCAAGGTGCGTCTCGTTAACCTCGAGTGATCTTGAATATAAATAAATGTATGTACACTCGTAAACGCACCTAGTTGATCGCTGCAATCTCGCGCCCACCACTGCAATTATCCTGATCGCATTCATACAAACACCGCGTATTTGTGTGCATTTGTGTTTAGTTCATCACTACCCATGTTGTCTTGTGTTTATTGCATTTACCGTTGGATATAAGAAGTGCATTTTTACCTAGTGGCATCATCTCTGCAGGTTGACGTGTGGTTTGCAAAGAAGCAGGTTACAAAATTAACTGTCAACTCCCAAGCACCGGCTTATTCAGATTTCTCGTCTACTCCATAAATGCACAGTTCATCACCACGCATGGGAAAAGCGAATATTAATTAAATAGATCCCATTTGATATCTTTAATCTCATGCCTCCTAGAGCGCGAAACATGTTATTAATGTGGGGAAGAAGGAAGGTCAGGACTGCGGTTCTTTTTTTATTACAGATTTTGCCAAGATTAGACGAATTCCAGAGTTTTTAATTGGGGATCATAATCTTCGTGCAGGTAGCATTGACCTTGTCTATCATTTGGCAACAGAAATTTACAGTAAATATTCTGAGAGAACAAAAAAATGCGAAAAAATTTCATTATTTTATTGTAAATTTTTTTTTTTTTTTTGTTAATCCACACGACACGCAGAGATGTAAATGTGCTTATAAGTGCCGTAATTTGTTCAGCAATTTTTCAGCCAGGATTAAACCTCTTGCTCGAAGAGAAAAAAAACTTTAACGAGCCGTCATCAGGTCGCCGAAAAATTCCAGAGATTACTTAGGCCCGCATGTCAGCTAGAGCTAACTTTATTTATGCTGCATGCGCCATTCACGGAGAAAAGAAACTCGTTTCAGCTGATACAACTCTACAACAGTCGCGGATAATGACCTCATGGAAAGCTCCTTTTGCACTCATTTAGCTTTTTTCTTGTTAATTCGACTAAATGAGATGCAAATTAAATTAATCGTAAAATAAATTTTCGTACCGATTTTTTTCAGGGTCAATTCGCACACTCGAGAAATAAATTTAAGTGTTTTTTTTAGTCGTGGAAAAATGGCGTCAAAATTTGGAGGAAGGTAAGGCCCGTGTGCAGAAAAGAGGGGTATATATAATTATAGAGGCGAGAGAGCAACGGGATTTGATTATTGTTTTGTCAACTGGTCGGCAAAGTGGTGCACGGCAACATCAGCAGTTAGTTTGTCGTCGCCCGCGGTTGAAATCGATAAATTTGCGCTCTCGGGAGTGGCGAGAGAAGAAGAGCACTTGCCGCGCCGCAAATTTTGCCATAAATATTCAAGTTTATTGCGTCAGAATGCTTTTCGCTCTCGGAGCGACGTTAATTATTCTTCACGCAAAATGAAAAGGGGAAAATTGAAGATCAATTTTATTTAAATTTTTCCTAACAGAAATATTCTCGCATTCTTTTCAAAATTCAAAAGTAAATTATTTGGCCTTGGAATTTAAACACCAACGACGGAAACCAACAATTTGAGTACTCGAGCGTGGTTAAGATGCGATTAAAAATTTCAATTTAAAAAACGAAACTGCCGGTTGAGTGAATTTGCAAAAATTTAATTAACAAGTTCTCTTTGATAAACATCGAATACAATTTAGATAGTGCAGCACGGAAATGCAACTCTATTCAATTCTGCAAACTTTCAAAGGCAGGATGAGCGCATAGTGCGTTACTTTATAATATATTTCAGCCTTGGACGTCGGCCAGTGATCTTCAAATTAAAGCAGAGCAGCAACATAATAAATTGCAAAGATAATCTTTAAAAATTATATATTAATTTGTTTCAAGCTCTTCTTGAAAGTTGCAATTTTATTAAAAATCTCTATTATACCTAGTTAATATCAGAAACAATGGGCCGATCATAAAATCCACTTACAAGAGCAATCATTTTTCAGCCGTCAGGTATGGAACTAAACAATTTATTGTGCAGGGAGTGCAGGTCAGTAATTGCCTGCGCGCAATCACTCGCAGACATAATTAACAAGTCAAAAACATTGCGGGATTAACATCTTAAAATTTAAGAATAAAGTATTTTGAAAATGGAAAAGAAGAGCACCGGAGATGAAAAGTAAAACTAAAGGAATTTTTCTCTGGAGGGGACGAGTTCTCTCAGGTGCATGTAATTTTTTTTTACAGAGAGGCATGCAGGTAACAAGAGCGCAATGAAAACTCGTCGCTGGGGGAGAGCAATTTTGCAATTTTTCGTCTCTGCCCTGTCATTATAGAGCGAGAGGAGTTGTTCTTTCTCAGTACGTATTATAAGAAAATAAAACAAATGTGTAAATTTTGCAGCCAAAGAAAAGAGCAGAGATGCGCATAGATAAGGACACTGACCTCAAGGTTGTGAATTAAAATCACTTTTCATGTAATACACGAGGAAGTATTTTGTAACATTCGTCCTTAATAGGCACAGTAATTTCTCATTAGCATTAAAATTTAAATTATCAATTTATAACATTAAGAATTCATTAATTATAAAAATCTATTTTCTTTTGAAAACAAAATAATTTTTAATCTTGGAATATCGAAAACATTCAGGTGTTGCTGTCGGAAAACAAGTTCCGTGAGTAGATTTAAGTGTGACCATGTGTATATTTAAATGCATCATGATGATTTTTCAAAGTAAAATCTCTCATTAGGAGAATAACATTCCACGTCGGCGGGCGCGGCCGACGGAAAATAATAAATATGGCACGGCTACTAAATGCGAGTTTAATTACCATGCACATACGGGGAGGGCAAAACAGAGGCGAGAATCACGACGAGGAGATGCATCTGCGCGGCGACGGAAAGTGGGTAGCAGCTTTTGAATGCACTCACTCATGCATGTGAATAACTCGCGGGCAGAGAAACAAGGCGGCCGTAATTAAATTGGCACTCCGAGGCTCTCAATCGTGATTTTTGGTCTGAGTTATGGAGGATAAGAATATCCGAGGAAACTATAAATATAATTCGCTCCAATGCACTGCTTGGAATAAATAGTCGCGGGTTTAATTTCAAGTGATTCAAAGTCGATAGGGAGTGCGTGTTATTTTATCTTTGGGAGCAAAGCAGCTGCTGAAGTGTTGAGTTATGTCCGGCGAGAGGACTGGCTAATTTATAATAAAATAATAAAAGTGAGAAAGGTTGAACCGGACGATGGCGCGTTTGTGCATTTGCATTTTAACGATGGTAATTTTTCAGTGCATATTATGCTTGCCTCCAGCTGCAATCTCACTGGAATATCTCAGTTGCAGTGCAAAAAGCAAAACCGAGCTTCAGTATTTCAAAATGTTTCACTCTCAGCAACATGTACAGTAGTGCAGAAAATTTTGATCCTCCTTCAAAAATTTTCTGAAATAAAAGAGACGCTAAAATAGGTGCCATACAAAATTTGAGTCGCCAAATTAAAGTCTGAAATTTATATTTTTTACTAATTTTTTTTTTTTTTTTAATATTCTAGATGGCCAAAGAGTCTGGCAAATAATTTTGATTTTCCAGTGAATTAAACGGCCAAAGTTTTTTTTTTAAATTGAAAAAAAAATCATACATGGGCAGAGCGCACTTTGCGCTCTGCGATCTGCGCTCGCGCTCTGCGCTCATCAGCGCGAGCGCATTGGTCGCTGAGCGCAGCGCTCAATTGCGCTCATGTTGCGCTCAAACCAACAGAAAAAATTTCCAAACTTGATCAAAAATTGTAACGAAAAACAGTGTTTTTATACCAAAAACTTCTAAACTGATCCCAATTTAGTTAATTTAACTTCAACTTTATCATTTCCAATTGCCGATGGATTTTTTTTTTATATTAAAAAATTGTCTAAAAAGTCGCACTTTTTCTTCGGGTAAAAATATTTTTGAGCGCAACGCGTGAGCGCAAGACTTTTTAAAAATTTGAGCGCGAGCACAGAGCGCGAGCGCAAAATTGTTGAGCGCACTCATGTATGAAAAAAATACTTGAACATTAATTATTGTAATTTTCCAATTAAATTATTTACAGTTTAATAATTAATAAATAACATGTACAGAAGAAAATGTTGTTTGTTTTGATAATATGCAACCAGCTGAGCACATTGGCGTCCAGGGGATTGCTTTGTATGTAGAAACAAATCCCAATGTATTTCAATTAAAATTTAACTCAGTTTAATTGTCTGAAGGATTTATTCCATTCATATATTATAGAAATGATAGTTTACTTTAAAATTGATTTCATTATTT